TATAAGTGGACACAAACAAGCAAAGACAAAGAGATCTGGGATAATGACTCGTAACTTTTAGCTGGGTATAGTACCAGTGCAACAGGACCAACAAACCAAAACGTCTTTCTCGCACATCGTGGGATTGACCCGGACAGGACCACAAAAACATCGAAAACAACCAGGTTACTTACAAGACTTACCCTCTTGGTTTTGAAGACATAAAACATATCAGAAATCAATTCCACAAAGAACACACCCACAAAATTCAAGAAATGCCCAAACAAAGAACGCATCCAAAACTCTCCTCACTTCGGCTCCACCTTCCAAGCCACGTAGTGAGCGTGGTCCTCTCCTTTGCTGGAAGCGGTCCCAGCTCATCGGCGGCCGCCTGGTTGGTGGGAAAAAGGCGATCTTTTTGAACGACCTGCAGGACTTAGGCCTCGAATCAAGGTGCTTTGGCCTGAATGGGTTTTGGTGTAGAACCGTTCAAATGAAGCTGTAAAAGTGAAGCAACTTATGGCTTTCTGTGTAGAACCATTCATGAAGCACCTGAAAAGCAAAAAGCATCAACTTCTCACGGACACCGACACCTCATCAAGCAGCTTTCGCTTGGGCGTTCGGGTGGCTTCAAAATCATCCGAAGACGAACAATGATGCTTCGGAAGCTTCGAGCAATGAGAGCGGATTTCCAGCTGGTGTCTACTGAGTCTACTTCGAACGTTGAATGCCAGCTTGCTGAGTTTGGTGAGGTAAAGGTGTTGACTGATGTCTCACATTCATAGCATATATTGTGCTAGACTCTTTGCCGCATCTATAGACTATGACTCTATCATGAAACCCTCAGGATCTGAAAATTATCTGAACCCATGCTGCACTGGTTCTTTGCCCCGCCTCAGCATCAGCCTTCGGCTTTGCCTGGCAGGCACATGAAATTGTGCCCTTGACTGGACAGCACTGCAGACCCAAAGAGTCTTGTATATAAGAGATTTGCGTCTCAACATCTTGCAACTCACATCCCCATGAGGAGAAGCTGTGAGGCACAAAGGCACGGCCACCCCAACTGAGTGTCCATCCACATTCGGCCACATATGAGCAAAGAACAACATCGGCTTTAACATCTTGAAGATGGGTCATGGGAATAGCCAAAACCCTGACAACACAAAACATAGAATCCTGGGAGGGTCGACCGCCACACCGCAGAATCCACATATGACAGGAATGATCTAATGAGTTAGTTGGTGAATGGGTAACTCACTTCACCCTAGGCCAAAGGACATGGCACTCCGAAGGACTGGGTCAAAACTTGGAGTCCTGGTTCACCATTTTTCGGTTGACCTTCCACCTACCAGGTCTGCAAGTATCATTGGTAGGTCAACCGCAAGGTCTCCCGGTGCCACAGCCATACACCGATTGGTTGGGGTGGTTGGTTTTAGGGGTCACTGTATGAGTGTTGAGTATGGACCCGCGTCTTCCGCGCCTCGAGGTCTTTGGCCTCCACAAGGTCTCCCTCCGCCACCTGGGGAGAGGTCACCAGCTCCGGATCTCCCGTAGGGGAAGAGTCAAGAGAGGCATCTCAACAGAATCAAAGCAATGCGACTTGAACCAACGTCCCAAATTCAGAACATCTGTTTGAACCCAACCGATACTTGAAAACAACAAACAAAACAACTCTTTATACTGATGCTTCTTCATGAATGGTCCATACAGAAAGCCCATGCCATGTCCTCACAGCATTGCAGGATATTCCATGTTCACAAAAAACCATGCAGAAAAACCCATGGAAAAATCACATATACACATTTAAAAAAAAACACACAAACAAACACAGAACACCGATGCCATGCCACCGCGGTCGCTCGCTCGGTCCTCCTCCTCGCTGTCCCCCGCTCGGTCACCGTCGTTCCGCCGGAGGGCCAACACGAAGCTCTCGGGACTGGAGACGAGCGGAACGGCGAGGCCTCGGTTCGGCGCGAGGCGGTGCTGCGGCATGTGGAGGTGGGGATGTCAAACGCCATATATCCATAGTACTATGGGTGTACTACTGGGTACTACTATATGGGTACTACTATGGGTGTACCTGTTATAGTATAGGGTTGCAATGGGTTGTATCTTTACATCAATGGGGTTTGGTCCTCTTCTTCATTAAGGCATAGATGGGTGTACTATCATGAACTATCCCTAGGGCTCCTGGCCCATATCCTCAGAAGGTGGTTAGATCCACTGGCAGCCGCCCACCCCAGCCATCATCGAAACGGCAGTAGGCCAGGAGCCCTAGGGTATGGGTGTGCATTGGAGTCCGGGAGACCCCACATCAATTTGGGCCCTGACTGGTCTATATTCCTCCTTGCCAGGGGATCCCACGGGGATCCTCGGTCTCCTTATATTAATACACACCTATTCACACCCATATAGGGCATAGGACTGGGCATGTTCCCAATTCACTGGGCCGGTTGCGAGAGGTATTCCCGATGAAAACCACGGAGAGCACGGTAGGGTCCAGAAGGGTCCAGTCCGGAGGATTGCTTGGTTTGGGAGTGTTTGTTGTTCTTTGTTTTTTTTTTGGATTGTATTATGGGTTATTCATGGTTATTGTGGGCTTATGGTGATTGTATGGGTTATTATGAGTTTATGGTGCCTTCCTCAACAGGATGTCTATTTCAGATGGGGTGAAAGCAACAGACCCACTAAAATCCCAGAAACAAACTTGTGACTGAATCATCGGCAGTTTCAGTTCAGTTTTGAGAGTATGATGATGAAACCTTGTGGATGTTCCTGCAAAGTATGTTTGAGGCAACCTCCTTTCTCACTCACCCAGTTGATGACTCGGAAGAAGCTTTAAACAAACTTTAAGTAAGCTTGACTATCTTCTTCCTCTGCAAGTATTGTGAGCCTCACCATTAAGTTGTGCTGAATCAAAGAAACATCTTTCAACGGATGGTTGGAGTGCCGTCCAGCTCTGAGCTCCAACGGATGGTTGCAGTTTGGGAGCCTTTCAACATCATTCAACAGATATGGTGGTTTCCAAATAGATACCAGTAGATAGACACTCTTAAACAGCTACATGCTCTTTACTTGGATCTACTGATCTGCTTTTCATGACTTTTTGGTTTCTATTTGGGGACCGCTATAAAGGACGATATGAAGATCTTAAGCCCTCCAACTCCGACCATCCCCTGCTCAGAGCTGGGCACATCACTCCAGTTGCCCTTACGCCCTTTGGCCAAAGGCACGGTCGATGCGCGAGGGCGCAGGGGTAGTACCATCCGGAGTGATCTCATAGAGCACGAAGTAGGCATCCTACCGCCGTGAAGCAAGGACACGATTTGGTTCTTGTTTGGCGAAAGGGCGGGCAGGTGGTGAAGGATGTCTTTCAGCTGAGACTGTTAACAATCACAAAGTTGAGACGAGCCTCTCACTCTGTGAATCCAACAGCCCCTCGCGTCATCCGCACTGTCGTTCGCTTCGCGGGGTCGTTCCGCATCCAGGGGGAGTGGTCAATGAAGTCAATGGTCGGTCACTCCTCACTGATCCGTTGCAGGTCCACCGCCGGGTAAGGCCTCGCTTCAACAGACACCGGGACAGGAGAACAGGGGGAGGTGCCCTTCAGCTTCAGCGGGCCCAGAAGCGACCCGCAAGAGTGGACATTTGTATATATGAGTATGTACTTGGATGCACTGGGATTATTTGGACCTCAAACTCGATCAGACTTGAAGAATACCGTCTAGGATTTCAACAGATCTGGTTGGATTTCAACAGATCTGGTTGGTCTGGTCGCCTGTGCAAAACGACCGTCCCACCAGGACGACGATCTGAAAGGCGAACGCAGAGTTCGGCTGTGCCCGGATGAAGTGAACACATCACACCTAAAAGTGCAGAGTACGTAGCTTCACAAGTGATTGGGAAATTGGGTCTCATACCCTATCGATCCACTCCCACCCATTGAGATGGTGATTGGCGACACTTTTATTTAGGCGAACTGAGGGTCTAAGTACCTTCCGAGAAGGTATGTGGATCCCTATAGAGATTAAGATTTCTCTTTGCTTGGAGCATGAAAGCACATCTTCCCTTCCCAAACACAGAACACCGTGCAAATTTGCAATGAAACACCTAAAAGACACAATTCCTAGTCGGCATGGCCATATGAACTTCAATGATCGCGATCTCTTACGGGAGAACAGCTGCAGACTCCAAACGCAAAACAGAAATGGTCTCAAGCCCAGCTACAGGTAGAATCTTGAAAAGCCCTGGAATTGTCCTAAAGTTCTTCACAACCCCCTAGGCAATAGGCTATTCGATCGGCTATTCTTTAGTGCAAATGGAGCGTGATTGTGTTCCCCAGTCTAGGGCACCACACAAGGAGAATGGTGTCTTGTTGTAGTCCTTGGCGCAGGTGCATGCTTATTCTTGCCGGGCAACCCAGTCGGGGAACCCAGTCGGGCAAGCCATCGGGTTCTGCACAGGAGGTTCTGTTCATCTGCATCCCTCCGCTTTTGAACGGTAGTGACAAGTGCAATGTACAGAAACCCTCTGTGGCCAGACCCAAAAAATCATCTCGCAGAGTCCTGGTAGTGAAGCTTAATCCATTTCACACAACTTTCCCAACGATGATGCAATTCCAGTCAAAACCACTAACATTCTGAAGAGTCTGGGGCTTCTGACCAGTCCCCATCGGTCTGCTTGCTTGTGGACAAGTCAGGCTACAAACGACGCGTTTGAGTTGGCCACGCATTAGGGACCTGGTGGATGCCAGTGGCACCATGAATCGATGGGAAAAGAACGAACGTTGTGCACCATTCCCAACAAAAGAGTGTGGGAAAAACCATCGCGTTATTGGAGTGTCGTCAAATCACCTCACTTCTTGGTATATATATACACATAACAAACAAACATCGTCTGTAGCCACAATCTGCTGAACATCTTCTGTGGCTACAGAAACCTCATCTTCACATCATTCTGTAGCCACGTCTTCTGAAGATAGCCATAATATCTGCTGATGATGAACAGGCAGCACATCCTTTTCACAATTCCGACGCAGCAGGATCATCTTCCGCTGTCCTGCGGTGGGAGGTCTCGGTTTCCGTACCGGCGGTTGAGGACGGACGGTCAAAGAGTTTCTAGGTATTCAATGAGAATGCAAAGTTGAATGGCAAAACAACCTCTTCATGTGGGAAATGGAGTTCTTAATCAACTCAACTACATTACCTCCTCCCCAAGTTCAATCCCATATAGCATGAAACGGAACAACGTGATCCATCCAACAAAACAACTTGCTGGAACTGGGGCATGAGAACAAGCAACATCGCGGGTCATGGGTCGGGTTCAGACGGGCACGTTGGGTTCCTCACAGTCGAGTCTTGTTTCAGCTAAGCCTGTTTCACGGATCGCCGCCCCCAGCGATCACACGTGAGCCGCAACGATTGGCCCCAGCGACATGAGCTGCGACGCTTTCGCCCTCGCCTCCGGACAGCATTTTGTTCGATGCACACGTCCGTCACATCTCCCATAGAGCATGTCATATTTCATAGTGTGGCCAAACGCATTCTTAAGGTATTGGTGTTAAATTTGTAGAAGAACGACTGTGCATAGACTTTCCCTTCCTCTTGTCCATTATAGCAATATACCTTCCCTTTACCAAAGGCCCTCCTCTGCCACTGTCGCAGCCGCGGCTGTGAACACTTCGGCATCCGCTTGCTTGGATTCGTCATCTTGGGTGTGAATCTTTCCCACCTCAGAGTCTCCGCCTAATGACTTGCAGTTTTCAAAGGCGCCGCTTCCAATGGATATCTGGGAATTGAGCAGTGCCACGTTGGCCAAAGAAACGCAGTCTGCAAAAGCACGCGCTCCAAGAGACGTCACTGACTCAGGAATCGTCAGGCTGATCAACGAGCTGCACCCTTCAAAAGCACCAGCTCCAATAGAAAGTACAGACTTGGGGACGGTCAAGCTCCTCAGCGACCTGCAGCCTGCAAATGCTTTGTCTCCGATGGAAGTGACTGAGTCTGGAATCCTCAAGCTTGTCAAGGAACAGCAGCCTGTAAAAGCACGGGATCCAATGACAGTCACTAGATTGGGTATTGTCAGTCGCATCAACGATCTGCAGTGTGCAAATGCATATTGCCCGATGGCGAGGACGGAGTTGGGAATCGTCAAGTTGGTCAAAGATCTGCAGTGTGCAAATGCATATTCACTGATGGATGTGATCGAGTTGGGAAGTGTCAAGTGTGCTAAGGCAAGGCAGTTTGAGAACGCACCAGGTCCAATGAATGTCACTGAGTTTGGGACTGCCAGTCGCATCAGGGATTTGCAGCCGAAGAATGCAATCGGTCCAATCGAAGCGACCGACTTTGGAATGATCAATTCGCTCAAGGAACTGCAGCAGGAGAAAGCGCGGGCTTTGATGGAAGACACGGAGTCAGGAATGGTCAAGGTTGTCAAGGAACTGCAATTCTCAAAGGCTTGAGTTTCAATCAAAGTCGTGCTGTCTGGAATCCTCACGACGATCAAAGCTTCAGAATCGCCAAGGTCATGCTTGCTGCTGCACTCCACGGCATGAATTGTAAAGAGTGCTTGCAATTGTGTCGTTGGACCAATTCCCGCCTCTGTCACGCTTTGATGGTCATCTGTCAACTTTTGACCCTCAACTACAACCTCCACCTTGGCCTCTCTTTGTCGATCTTCCCTCGCTGTCAGTTGCTTCTTGAAATCAAATATGGTCATGTCTGGCATCACTTCTACAGTGATCGCCTCCCCATTCAGCTGTATCACTGGGACCTCCATCGTCATTGCAAAGCTTGCGAAGCTTGGTGCGTGTGAACAAGCTGCAAGGTGGTATTCCCACCCCGACTCTGTTACAGATGTTTTGAACACCTTAAATATATATATATATATATAATCCCCTTGTGTGTTCCCATAGCTACTTGTCCACCCATTTTATAGCTATAAATCGGTGGGTGCATGTCTGCCTGGGGTATCTTAGCACTATAAAATTCAAATGCCTGACTTACTATCATACAGAAACATCATTATAGAATCAACTCTACTAAGGACCAGGAGGTAGACAAAGATATTGAGCAGATGCCCAAAAACACAGTATAAAATGGGGTGCACAAGCAGAACAATTTGATGTCCTCCAATTTTGTTTAATAGAAATTAGTCCGGAGAGCAAGTCGTGCTCAGATTCTATAGTAATTGTTGATTCAATCTGTCAAAATCGGTCAAAAAATATTTTTGTATTTTTGTTAAAAAAAAAAAACATTTCAACATCTTTATATGTTTGTCTTTGTTATTTAATCAATGTTGTATATTTCCTCCATCAATTTGCACTATGATTTCAGAGACATTGATGAAGATTAGTTTTTTTGCTATGAAATCATTTCACTATAAAGTTGCAGTCTCTGTGGCACGCAGGCACAGGTCTCTCTATAGAATTATGTTGGTGTTTGGTCTGCGTGGTCAAAACCACAATTTCTACAAACAATGTGATTGTTATAGAATCATAGACGTCAATTCATAGTCTCTTGTGCTCTCTTCCAAAAGTTCATGCTAGTCAATGCCTGAATCTATGCTTGTGAATTTATAGTAATCACTTTCTCGGAGGCTTATTTCTATAAATCTGCAACACGCCCTCTTGATTTCATAGTGAAAATACACACCAGGATTATATATATATATATACAGTACACGCATGAGAGAGAGAGAGGTCTCCATGTCTATGCCTTTCTGAAGAGAACCTTTGAACCACATTTGGATATAGCTATCATGCTCTCGGTGTGCCAACATGCTGTGGACGCGAACGGCGCGGCGAGAACGGCGGATGCTCTTTCAAACGAGGTCTCCAATGGTCCGTCAGTCCGACGGACCGGAAACGTGGTCTCCACCGAGGTTGAAGAACCCGGCCCATTATAGGCTATCCCGTAGGTACCCTGGTAGGGTCCTAGTTCAGGTCACTTAACTTTTGTTGGCAAAGCCAAAGGAGAAGTGAAGAAGTTTCAGGAAAAGCTGACACGTTCCAGAGTGACCTCCCTAGAACGAGTGCCTTCCCGAGAGAACGATGTCGGCTTGGAACAAATGACTAATTCCACCAAAGCTGCATGTTCACGCAAACCAGAATCCTCCGGCCAACGGATTTCCCAGCAACCCTTCCCCAGGGCTCCAAGCACTTACTTGCGAAAAGAAGGATGATTACCTATTCAAAACAAAAGAAAGGGTGCTGACCCAAAACGATCTCGGAACTGATCTCCCAACATTTGAGAAACAGGCCATGCTTGGCCGGAAGAATCCACAAATGCCATCAGAAACAATTTGGCCGCTTCCTCAATGGATTTATGTGGACTCTTGATTTAAGTAAAACCCCCAAACATGGACTGAAACACCTCTAAGAGGTGGCTTTATAAATGAAGAGTCAAGAGTCAAGAGTCGTGCCCCTGCATCTCTGGACCAGCCTGGCCAGGCTGGTCCACCAGGTGATGCTTCCATGCCAAACCAACGCAAGTACTTCGTGACCCCCCCACCACAGCCGTCCGGCTCCCCTCCCGTCCTGGCGACCGGGACCTCGGAGAAGATGCTGGCGCCCACTTGCCGTTGCAAGCGGCAAAGGAGGCTCCCTAACTCGCCTGAAGCGACCAAGACGCTGTTGTCGCGACGCCCGCCGTCTCGGCAGACGGCGGGAGGGCGGAGTGTGTTCGGAGTGCGAGACTCGGTGAGATGACACGATCGATGGAGGAATAGGACTTGTTTTCAGGTGGAAGTGTTGGGAACTCTGAGTGAAACTGGGACGCCAAGCACTTAATTAGGTGGGTTTGATTTGAGCACTTGCGATCAAAAAGGCGATGATCTTGGAGAGGTCCGGGTGGATACAGGTGATCTGTGACATGTGGGATGTTGAAATTCTACCTGGACCATCCGTCCTGGGTGTCTAGGGTAGTCGATCCCTAAGTAGTGCAGGGCAGTCCAGCAGAACACCCAGGGAGGTGTTGGTCATGCTGTATCTTCGATGCTCTGGCTTTGTGCCATACCATAAAGAACACATTCACCCCTGACACCGCGCCCCAGTGGCAGCTTCTCACAGACTCGAAGAGGATCCGCTCCTGACGGCAAGCAAGGGCGAGCGCCCCAAGTGCCCGACGTGAGAACGAATTGGGCGATTTCGATTGCATTTCAGTGTCTGCCATGCAGATGTGCATTGGTGCATGAGGTATTTTGATTTGAGAGAAGAGTGAGATTGATCATTGCGAGACACAGGACTGACATATATGTCAACCTCGTCTAGTAGTTTCAATTGCAACATATCCGGATGTTCTTGTGTAATTACTAATGATATCTAATGTTGGATCCTGATTAGTAAAGGGGGGTCCCCCCCCCCCTCCCTCAAACAAATAGGGGACCCTCTATAATAAACTACCACCAAAACAAATCTGGATTCCTGTTAGAATTCCTGTGAGAATTCCTGTGAGAAAGCTGTCAGTTTTGAAGAAACCTAAAGAAAACTATATCAGCTAATGAATCATAATCATTGGCCTCAGGAGCTAAGGAAAGGAAGATTACATGAGCAATTTTTTCCAGTGGAAAAACTTTTCACAATTGAGAACCCAAAAACAAATCTATTATTGAGGATCAGGTGCCTTCCTGGTCTACTACCTTGAATATTTGTTCAGGAGCAATGTTTTATAAAGGGTTTAATTAGGAGTTAGTGGTTTTGGACTAGGGTTGTAATTAGTTAGTTAACATCTTGTTGGTGGTCTGTTTGTCTGTGTTTTGCTTTGCTGCTGGCTGCTTGCCTGGGAAGGGAGGGGGAGTGCAGGTGGACAGGGTTCAGAAGGAATTCAAATCCTTATTAATGAATTAGGTTTTCCAATATAAAAAAATTAGGGCCCAATGTGTTTTTTAGCATTATTCAGGACCACTTTTTCAAACAGGGGGTCCTGAATGATTTTGGAAAAAAATAGCATTATTGCGGACCGGTTTACTAATCGTGATCCAACATTAATGACAATGTATGTGGGACTACTAGGCTTACCTTGGTAAATGGTACGCCAACAAAAAAACAATGCCATATCTATCCATATAGCACAGAACAGCTCAGTGGAGCTGATTGGAGCACATTGGAAAACAGGTCGCACATTGGCACAGTCAGTCAGCACTCCTTTCGTAAGTACATGAACGGCGCCTGGTTCATGGAGATCGCCTTCATCGCCTTCAAACCATATATGGGTTTGTATTTTTTTAAGGTTCCCGGGTCGGGATGTTTGACTATGGGGTATGCTTCGGAGGTATGCTTCGGGGGTATGCTTCGGGGTATGCTTCGCCTAAGTCGAACATCCCAGCCCTACATAAACTGGACACCTTAAAAAAAAGACAAGCCCATATCTACGTACTCAATTCCACTCACCTATGATACTCACCGGCTACTGGTACAGCAAAAACATCCTCCACCATTGGAACTTCTCCTATCTTCTACTTCTCCACCCAGTCCGCTAAACCCGACTCCTCCCGCCGGAGCTTGATGCCACGGATCTTCACCACGTCGTAGTCGGCGCTCCGATTGCTCCGCATGAAGTCCACCTGAAACCGTCACGGACAACGACTGTTTCGCTAGGATCGCCTGCATTCGTTCACATGCACATGCTGTACCAGTCATCATCCCAAGAACCGCATCCTCTTGAATTGTACGTAGGAGCTCCTGAGTGTGTTTGTGTCTTGCATTAGCTTGAAAACCTGCAAGTCTGTAAAAATATCACATCACGACACCATTTTGTAGACAACAAACACAAACAGCACTTCAACATGCTTCTCTCTATTCATTCACCAGCACACTTCTGCCCCAACACAAACTCCTTGGATCAGCCGTAATGGCTACTTGCCCCAACGGCTACAGTACCATGCGTCGACCAAGGAGGAAGCAAGCAAACAAACGAACAAACAACGAAACAACCCCAACAACAACAACAACGCGACGACGACGACAACAGCACACATCAAACAGCAACCATATTCAAACCATCTCGCCAAGCTTCGATTTCAGTGCTATTCCAAGCCAGGGAAAGAGCGAGGGCACTGACGGTCTCCAGAGAATCTTCAGCATGAATACCTCAGCCATTTTCTACCCTGATACGGTCTGCGGAGCGGCGGACGCAATGGACATGTAATCTTTGGCGGATAGCTTTTGAATGCTTTTGATAGACTCCTACAGGTCAGTTGAACCTGATTTTGACTGGAGTTGATCATTTAAACAAAGCACACACTGCACAATGAGGCTTTCAGGACCGGGTTTTACGTAGTCTTCAGGCCTGTAGGGGTTAGGGTTGGGGTTGTCTAGTTGTCTATTGGGAAATATATATACAAGAACCGCCAACAACTTGTGTCTTTGCACCTCTTGGCTGCTCTTGCTGCGACATGTGACATCAAAAAAACTTCTTGCAGGGGGCTTGATTTGAAAAACATGGAAGTAGAACATAGTCGAATCTATTGCCCGGGCCTTTCTTCGTGTCCCATGGAATACCTCACATACCGATCCTCGACACTGGCGATGTGCCTGGTATATGCATGGGGCCAGAAATGGACCCGCGACTGGCAAGAAGCCCCATTTCTTGTAGAGCTCCAAGACATTTCCGCCGTGGGTTCCAATGATGGAGTTGAACCTCGGCTGCGCCGACACGGAAGCGGTTTGGAAACAAAAAGAAGAGACACACCAAGCCCTTTGATTGAAAGTCTGGAAGCTCTTTTCAGCCTGAGAAGTCTTTTATACAGTAAGTGACCAGCAAATAGATCAATAAAATGAAATGAACTAGCATCTAATTCATTGAGGCGGACCTGGTAAAACACAGCAACTGATTCCTTCATCAAGAACAGGAGTGAGTATATACTTTGTCCACTGGACAAACAGGGTTGAACCACAAGACAAGGTCATGAAGTCATGGAGGTTGTAAACATATATACATATGTGGCAGTGGGTGGACACCTGAAAATGAACAAATTCCTCTATAAGGATGTCAACCTACCAGGGTTTGGTGGAAAAAAAAGTCATGACTCACAGCCATATGTACACATGAGGATCGCAATTCTTTCCATCTTGTCCTAAGTACATCAACTATCATGAAATTGCATCCTTTACATCCTCACTCCTGTAAGGCCAACAACGTAGTTGCAACTTCCTCCTACAAATCAACCCCACTCACTAACCTGGCAAGGCATCGGGTCATGTAGACTGTAGACTCTTAATTAATAAACCCCTTATGAAGAAGCTGTTCAGTGGAATTGGGGGGAGATTAGTAATCAAGAGTCTACTACATTACCCAAACACTCCATGTATGCCATATATGCCTACATTGAACACCCCAAAACCACCCCAACTGATCGGCATATGTGGCAGTCCCATTGGTCATGTCTGGGTTATGGTCATGTCATCTGGGTCAACCCCAGTCGTTCAACTCCGCACCAAAGGACCAGGGCCGCCCATGCAAACGGTGTCTTCCATCAGCTTTCTTGTTTTTTTTTGGAAACGGTGTCCCGCGAGCAAATCGTCTGCGACCAGGTAGCACCACATTGGTCTTCAGATAGTGCATCCAGTATCTTTGCCCGCAGGGATGCAAGTAGTAGTGGGTGAAGGCCGCGAGGGAGTTCACGGCCCTGTGCTATGATTTTCAGGACCAGGAGCTTCAGAACAAAGCTTCGAATCTGCATCTGCTGATCTGATCTCTGTAAGAACAAAACACCTATCTAACGTATCTAAGCACACCTGCTTTACACCTACCGTAAGAACCCCTAGTGTGTCCACACTGTTTGGGGAAAAACATCCAAAAACAACCACAAGCCTTGCCTTGCTTCGATCCCACACTCTGTGGAGCCAGACTCGTCGACTCGTCGAAAGCAAGCAGATTGAGACACGGAGCGCGCACTTGCAGAAACAAGCAGCAAATCTGCTGAAAGTTTTGACCTCTGCGAACAAAAGGTCGAAAAGTGCTGACATTGTGGGAGTACGAAGACCACACTCCCACGTAACCTCGTTTGGCGTCTTCCCACAAAGCCTGAACTGGAAACGGCAGCGGTTGATCTGCCTTCAGAGATTCACAAATAACGTAAGAACTCGGAACGAACACACGATGCATGTAAAAAAACACCGACCTTTTGCCGCACGAACAGACCTCGCCTCGCCCCCACCGCAGACCTCGCAGACCTCGCGCCGCCTCGCCGAACGCCGAACAACACGCGCGGAACACCGCGGACTCGGCCGCGTTCGGCCGCGGAACGCGCCCGCGTGGAACGCCTGGCGAAGAGATGCAGGAGGGCGTGGGCGGCCGAGTGGATTGGCGAGGCATGGCTCCAGTCACAGTTGGCCATGGCTCCGTTGAGCGGCTCGATGCCACGCCCGCGGAGCTGGGTCAGGTGCTGGTCGTAGCTGCTCCTAGGTCAGGTGAGGGCCAACGAAGGCGTGGGTTACATCGGCGCGGCGGCTTGACAAGCGAAGGGGAGTGGAGAGTCTTGTCCTTGTGAGATCAGAGGTGGTTTCGAGGATTGATGAACAAACATGTTGCTTGGGTTCTTCAAGCAAGAATGGATCTTCACTTACACTATGTTGTTCAACCGCTGCACTCTGGATCTCAACTTCAACAGCACCATTGAGGGGGTCGCAAAACTGCACCATCCGTCCTGGGTGGTCCTGGCTGGACTACCCAGTCCACTGCTCTCCGGGTTCTCCAGCCAGGACTCAGGATGAATCCCGCAAGTTTACTTCTCACCTGACCCCATGATTAATTTTATGGACACGCTGCCGAAAGAACCGCTGACACGGCACCACTGCTGACGCCAAAATATGTTTCAAATATTGAATCAACAAAAGGATCCCATAATCTCACTGAACGGGTCCAAGAATCTCACTGAGGGAGAAGATCTCTCTCAAAGTGTCCTTCCAGCGCTGGATAAAGACCTGATTTTTCTGCGTTGGCAAAGCTTGAGAGGTCAAGTGCTCAAAAGGATTCACCAATCTTCTCGACTTGTCTTTTTGGCTGTGAGTTAGGACGTGTCGACCATATCTGCAACAGTAAGAGATGTTGCATGCCAGCTGGCATGAATGAGATATGAATTTTGATTCCTGATGAAGCCCTTTTTTCTCGAGTCCAAGCATGGTGATCATGATGATCAGTGCACACACTATGAGAACCGAGTTCGTGGCATCATGCGGTGAAGACACCGCGATCAAGAACGTCTCAAACAACGAGGCCTCAGCGTCTCGGGGATGACGTTCTTTACGTCACAAACTGCGTGAAGAACAAACTCACCGCATTTTTTGAGGGGGACTCCTTTTTGAATTAGTAAACCTACCGGTGAGTCGACTCCTTTCTTGAGATAGTAAGCCTACCGGTGAAGATCGCAGGAAATGTCAAAGTTTCCGAGCTGCTATGATAGGTGCTATGATCTCTTCATACACTCCCTCAACTTCAGTGCCTAGTGGGACTAATTAAAACATATTAAAACTTGTTTTAAAACTTGTCATCTCGACTCAACACAATAGCTCCATGATCCATATATATGTATTATTTCATGAGACATCAGGTGCGGAGGTTCCTGGCGGGCGAAAGAAACAATGCATCCTCTGACTTTTCGGCTTTGTCGGGCACAAAGCTAGTTCGTCCTGAGGTTCCGCACCAAAACCCCGACAAAACCAGTACATCAGTCCAACAAAAAAAACAAACCATAACAAACCAGTTCATCAGTCTGCCATGTACACCCCAATGAGACTGGTTTCTTCATGTTCGAGTGATTTTTGAACATCCTCCAACACCCTGGTGGGAAGCTGGTTCTCATTGAATCCCTTCCATCAACAGGACTTGCAGGAAAAAGAGGCCCTTGATCTTTCAAAATGAGGGACACTCAACCAAACACACTCATGAGTTGAGGGGTCCTTGCCCAGCCCAGTGAGACCATCCGAAGCCTCTTATTGGAATCAGGCAATGTTTTGCTCAAACTCTTAAATCCAAACTGTTAAATCATGTGTTCTCATGTGTTGGATGTCCAAAAATATACATGTTGAGAAATATCTTCGACTTGTTCATCAATGTAGAGGTAAACATCGTGAAACATCATTGAACTTTTTGACACACTATATTTTGTCCACTACCCTTTTCTTAAACTAAGTCTTCGTCACAGGAGAAGTTCCTGCACAGACTCAAAACCCGCTTTATGTTTGGCAAAGCTTTCGACACCACTGGGACCGACACGCCTCCAGCTGTACACCACTGAGCCTGGCCGAGTCGTTGACCAAGAAGTGCAGCGGAGCCGTCCTGGGAGAACAAGGACGACGCCGTCCTGGGAGTTGCTTGAACAAGATGCAGGAAAATGTGTTTTGTTGGAAACAATTGTGTAGATATATATATATATATATGTGCATTCATTGTTTGAATCATTGCAGAACATTCTTTGGGGGACAAGACCATGGAAGAATGACGGCAGACCAGCTCTTGGGACGTCAGACCAGCCTTGCCGGACCATGGACTTGACCCCCCTCTCTAAAAGAATCCCAAACTATGAATGGAAAACAATGGACACGTTATGCCTTCCGGTTCACACCAGGTCCGATTTGCGCAGATGGTCGGAAAAAACGGCCAAAAGCAAGGGAAAAGGAGAGAGACTGAAAGGGTCGAGTAGTTATTTTGGTGAGGGGGTTGGCCCCGTCAAGTCCACCGTTCAGGTCCACCAGATCCTCAAAGCAGCTCACACTGACACGCGTTCCGCTCATTGAGCTTGTCCAGAAGAAGCGGAAGAGTGTGCACACCAGGGCGAAGTCATCGGAGAAACACATTTGTCGATATTCTCATGGAAAGCAAAGACGAGAGCAAGCTGACTTTGCCTGGAAAGAAAGGCAATTGGGGTGGCCGAAAAATGTACCGGACATTCGACAAGAGCTGCAATGTTTGCGCGACTGCGCCCAATGCCATGGTCTGGACGTCAGGCAAAGCAGAAACAGTCGACAAGCTGATGGTGCAGTAATGAACCTGTATCTGGGGGGTCACCAGGCCTTTGTGGCGACAGGTTCATTGCAAGTTGCTGCACCACCGTCAGTACAGCAAGGCTGGAGAGCTCCGAGGATGCCTCGGGCGCTTCGCTGCTCCTCCTCGTTCTCCTCCTCTCATCACCCTGCTGGTGTGGGCTGCACTGTGAACGGATTCGGGTGGCAAAGCCTGTTGGACCGAACGATGACAGCACATGATGACAGAACCCGATATTTGGACCAGTGTCGCAGCATATGTCAGAACAAATGTCAGATCAGTTGACACATGACCGAATTCATGATCTGTCGGAAAGTGACAAATGTTCAGCGGTACTTGCCAGAAGAGATGTCAGAGTCAATATATATATATATATATATGTCAGACTTCACGGCGGGACAAAAGCCAAAACACTTACCAAAAGGACGTCAGAACACATTTAACATGTCTCAGCCTTTTAGCTATTACAGATGATGTGTCAGAACATGTCAGAACACATGCCAGAACATGATGTGTCAGAACTGATGCCAAAACACATGCCAGAACAAATGTCAGAACATGGTCTCAATTCGCATGTCAGGCAGTGTTTGTCAGGATCGTTTGTCAATACATGTGCCCTGCCTTCTTCCAAATCACCTCTTACAGCGGGAATCACTCAAAGTATATGTTTTTGTCGACAGGTCCGAGGATCAGCAGCAGCGTGGCGTCCAGCCATACACCACCATGGGATTCCAGTAAAGCTAGTCGCAGCCAATCGGCAAAGAAGACCTCAGAGATTAAGTGATCTTCCAACTACAGACCAAGAGCCCCATATACGCCAAATTGGGATGGTTTGGGGTTTGATAGATACTTTGCTGCGAAACTACCTCAGCATACCTTAGCCTTTTCATTCATAAAACAAAGTAATATATATATATATATATAAAGGTTCAGCTCGACCAACATTCGTCGTGACCGTTGGAAGATCGAAACTGGATCTTGCCGGAAGAGCCAGATTTCTTAGGGCGTCCAAACAGGTGTCTTCTGTGCCAACAAGGTCTGTTTGATGGCTTCATGTGCTGAACAAGGTCTGTTTCTGCACCAATCTAGTAGTACCACTGTACCACTGTAGTAGGAGTAGTAATTAGTGGTGGTGATAGTAGTAGTGGTGGTGGTAGTTGTGGCAGTAGTGGCAGTAGTGGTAGTGGTGGTTGTAGTAGTGGTAGTCCAAGTCGCAGTCGAGGAGGAGGATTAAACACATGCAAATTATGACCCTATAGGCTTTCACATGCTTTCCCCAAAAAAACACCCACCGCTCTGGTTCTTTCTACAACATCATGCGTACCCTCATCCACCATCTCAACCTGTCTCATGCAATCAACCTGTCTCACGCACCGAAGCGTCCCGAGGTTCCCTCGGCCGAGAGCTTCCGTCCCAACACGAGACCCGGGACGACCGTTAGACTAGACGGACGTGTTGGGACTGGGGGGGGTCAACGACCAAAGTCTGCAGCGAAGGAGCCATGTTGGAGAAGTCCTCCGGGCCCAAGCGTTGGGCACTCTCCAGATGGGCCGCAAAGCTCCGCAGGTCCAGCATCGTCACCTGACGAGAGCGAATGGAGTCTCCTCCGTCGCCGCGGAAGGTTGTTTTCGAATCCACGTGGTTTTCGATACGCGTGAGAATGGAAGCGCGTTTTTGGGGTCTGCTTGGGTTGGGTTAGGGACTTTTGTCTTTTGTTTGTTGATTTTTTTGGAAGAGGGGAAGTGTTGAGTTGGCATCTCAGAAGCAACCAGTGGCATCTCATGTCGTGGCTCTTCAAATTGGATTTAGTTGATCCGTAAAAAGAAACACCACGGATTGCAGCGGACATCACCCTGAAACCACCCCAATGTAATTATATGTAAATATTCCATATGGAGCGCTTGGGATTGAACCCCCTAGGGATCCAAGTACCTTCTCAGAAGGTACGACTGGACCCTCGAAACCTACATGGCGGTGTCTCCAATCACCTGCTGAGAAGGTACGACTGGATCCCTAGGGAACACATGCAGATTAAAAACATACCCAAAAAGTTCGTCGAGGTGCCGAACTTGATCCGAACATCGCACAAATCTGACGCACAGAATGGGACGAACTAGCCCGACATGGAAACTCCTGGTGAAATTGGTTATATGAATTCTACCTCAGCCATTTGACCTTCTGTTTCCTTTACACACTTCCCACCAAGTGAAACTGCCCCACGACTGCGTCTGCCTCGTTCCCTATCCCGCCCGACGATGCCTGCCCTCCCGTTCCGTCTCCCCACGGTCGTCGTCGAACGCGCCTCATAGTCGGGCGCAAAGTGGTGCCAGGTGGCCATCGCCAGGCGCACCAGCTTTGGCACCTTGGGGTGTTGGAGACAGCATGGCGCACCGCGTTGGTTCGCGTGATGGCTTGGCTGAAGACACGAGGCGTGACCCAGGAGCTGGTCCGGTCGTGTCGGCCATGCAAGGCCTATCAGCACCTATACGTAAGCTTATGCCTAATAGGTATGGTATCTCACAGCACTCACCAAAACACACAACTCTTCGACGTCTGCAGGTCTCCAGATGGATAGACATGACCGGAGACTACACTCACTCATGCCGGGAGACTACACTCACTGACTGGGTCTTTTTGGGATGGATTAGACATGACTGGAAAATCGAAATCATGTCTATTTCCTTCTTGGCAAACAGCTCACCAAAGTACCTTTGGGATCCTTTGGGGGGTCGCTTCTCAGCCTGGAATCGAGTCTGGCGGAGGGATCCCATGCGCGCGCTCTCGGCGCTCAACCTCTGACTTCTTGGCTCGATGCAGGAGGAGCCTGAGAGGCCGCCAGGGCCGGAATCAAACATTGGCAGTCTTGAAAAGCATCGACTCCAAGAAGGCAAGTCTTGGAGTTCAGTGTCAAGCTGGACAGGGAACGGCAGTCCGCAAAAGCCCTGGCTCCGATGGATGCCACAGAATTGGGAATCGTCAAACTGCTCAAAGAACTGCAGCCGGCAAAGGAGTCCATTCCCAGTGACGTGAGAGACTCAGGCATGGCCAAGCTGGTCAGGGAACTGCAGCCTGAAAAGGTTCCAACTTCAATGCAAGTCATGGTCTCCGGAATGATCAACCTTGTTAAAGAGCTGCAGCCTGAGAATGCGCCAACTCCAATAGAGGTCACGCACCCAGGAAGTGTCAAACATGTCAATGAGCTGCAGCCCGAAAATGCGCCAACTCCAATAGAAGTCACATACGGGGGAAGCGTCAACGTCGATAACATCCGGCAGCTTGCAAATGAGCGATTACTGATGGACGTTACCTTGGATCTGCTTAAGGATCCGAGAAAAAAAAGGGTACATTTACCCATATAGGGAAAATAATAAAACATCACCGGGTCTGCAAAACCATGTGACTGACTCAGGAATTCTCAGGCTTGTCAAAGATCTGCAGTCTGCAAATGCACCAGCTCCCAAAGAAGTCACAGACTCGGGTATCCTTAAGCTGGTCAAGGCGCTGCAGCCTGCGAAGGCACGGACTCCGATGGATGTCACGGAGTTGCCCAGAGTCAAACGTGTTAAGAGCGTGCAACCGTCAAAGGCATTGTCTCCAATGAACGCCACAGACTCGGGAATGATCAAGCTTGTCAATGCACTGCAGCCTGCGAAGGCACTCGCTCCAATGCACTTCACAAACGGGGGAAATTCCAAGCTTAACAAGGAGCTACAGCCTGTAAACGCATGGTCTCCAATGGACGTCACAGATTCGGGAATCCTCAAACTTGTCAAAGAACCGCAGCCTGCAAAAGCACTCTCTCCAATATAGGTCACAGAGTCTGGGATTCTCACGCTTGTCAAGGAGTTGCACTGTGCAAATGCACTGCTTCCAATCTCTGTCACTGAGTCGGGGATTGTCAAGCTTCTTAGCGATGTGCAGCCTCCAAATGCAGTGTCTCCGATGGAAGTCACCGAATCGGGAATTGTCAGGCTGGATAGAGAACTGCATTGTGCAAAGGCAACATATTCAATTGATGTCACTGATTCAGGAATCGTTAAGTTCGTCAGGGAACTGCAACGGGCAAATGCACCCATTCCAATGGAAGTCACAGATGCAGGAATGGTCAAGCTAGTTAGGGAGCTGCATTCTGCAAAGGCATGATATTCAATTGATGTCACAGATTCAGGAATCGTCAAGCTTGTTAGGCAACTGCATTCCGCAAAGGTAGCATCTTCAATTGACGTCACACATCCAGGAATGGCTAAGCTCTTCAGAGAACTGCAGCGTGCAAATGCACTCCTTCCAATGGAAGTCACAGATGTGGGAATCACCAAGTTCGTCAGAGAACTGCAACCTGAGAATGCCGCAGGTCCAATGGAAGTCACAGATGCAGGAATTGTCAAGCTCGTCAAGGAGCTGCAGCCCATAAACGCATTTGCATCCACGAATACCACTGACTCGGGTATCGTCACGCTAGTCAGTGAGATGCATGCTGCAAAAGCATCGTTTCCTATAGACATCACAGAGTCGGGTATTGTCAAGCGCATCAATGAACGGCAGCCTGCAAATGCCTCGTCTCCAATGGAAGTCACTGAATTTGGGATGGTCACGCTTGCCAATGACCAGCAATCGTCGAAGGCTTTGCTTTCAATGGAAGATGCAGAGTCGGGAATACTTAAGGCGAACAAAAGCCCAGGCATTATAGGGAGCGGGAGCTCCTCCTTGCTGCAACACTCTACTGCATTAATTGTGAAGAGTGCCTGGACTTCTGCAGTTGGCGAAATGCCTGCGACCATCAACACCTCATCCTCGTTTTCTAGCCGCCTGCCCTCGACCAATATTTCCGCCCCACCCACCGCGTGCATGACTTCATCTGAAAAATGCACTGCAACTAGCTGCTCCTTGAAATCCTGTACAGTCATTTCTGGCATGACGTCTAGAACAATGTCTTCCCCGTTCATCTGCGTGACTGAGACCGTCATAGCCATGACGGCAAGCCGAATTTAGGCTTCTCCCAGCCTCACTAAGCCACTGCAAAAAAATAAACAGCACCGACAAGACTATATTAATATAGGATATATTATTGTAGGTTCTGACTATCAAGTCTAGAGCAAGTTGCTGGGACTATCAACAAATAGCAGTTTAATCCATGTGGATTGAAACTCTTCGATATGGTTATCACATCAGCATCTTTTCTTGAGCCGACGCACCCGACACGGGATAACCAAACCAAGGAAGGGGAGCAAGTTGGAGCAAACCACATCCAGAGCAAGCCAATGTACTTATATATTGTGATTGACAAAGCAAATAATCCCAAAGAAATGGTAATGCAATGCTGCAGGACCGGTAGGATATAGATCAGGGTGCTTTGGGTATAATAAAGCCAGAACTTCAATGATGCTGAATACAAGTCTGAGAATGGAGAGGATCTAAGGATTCCAAGGGGTGGCAACCGTCAGGAGAACTCTTGAAATGAAAGCCACTTGATGCCACTTGTAAGCGCCATAGCAAGCGACATAGCGCGTTCTTCAAGAATGACTGCCAACAATCTTTTGTCAGGGATATGTTTGTTGGGACGAGGCAACATGTGAACCAAAAGCACGGTATCTGCCCCAATTCTTGAGAGCAACTCAGGTGTTTCTCTGGGGGGTCTTGTGACAAGACCCAGGCAAATTCCGAGAAACCGCCCCCCGTCCCTGAGCCCTTTCCTGTGCAGCCTGTTCACTGACTCGCTGTCGTGCCAAAAGGACCAAATCCTGGTCGTTTCTGCGAAAAAGCCGTGATCGTCCAACCTCGAACAAAATCGAAAACACAAAATACATCACACAAACAACTGATTGACATTGATTGACCAATCGTGCAGGATGTTTTTTCATAAAGTGGATCCAGGAAATGGTTCCATGGACCACATCTGGCCTTTGGACCATGAGTCTTTTCGAAACACCACCAAACATAGGTGGTGTTCACTCCACCAAGCCACCATGAGTCGACTCCCGTCGTATGATGTCGTATGTAGTTTCATCATGAATACCGGGTATGACCGGTTCTGACCCCGAAACCAAAGAGAATCGCACCGAAACCACCCGAACACAGGGAGGTCCCGGACACGGCGCACGAGCGATTCCGCATGGGAGGCCCGCCGATCCCGCGGATACCGGCTCCTCTTTGGGATGGCAGAGCAGTGGATGGCGCCCAGCGCCTCGGAACGAAAGCACCGGTGACTCGTGACCGCAGCGAGGCACCGACGAGGTGAAGAGCAGCTCCTGATGACGTCGAAGAGGTCGAACGAAAGGATCGACTCAGTTCGACCGGGAGGTTGAAATCCTCATGCATATATGGGGCTTTGCGGGGGTTGTCTTGATTGCAAAGGAAAGGTACAACAACCAATACACTGCTTCGTGTGTGAGCATGTGAAGTGTAAGTTTGTGGGTCCTTTCGCCAAAGTCTCCATCTACACTTCTGTGGAACTGCCTTCCCCTGTGGCGTACATGTGTGGGGCAAACCAAACTACATCCTGGTACCTTCTCTCGCGCTGTTGCCACTGTTTCCCATCCACTGTGTAATTGTTACGCTTCTGATTTGTAGTTTATGACGGGTGATTTCTCGGCTGTTTTCTGTCATTGCGTGAGCAAATCGAAAGAAGCGGCCACATGAAAATGAATGTCTGGCTCCGCCAGCACAACTTGCTTGGAAGGAAAACAACCCTCAAATCCTTGACCATAAACCGAAAGCAAAAAAAATAGTGCACTCTTTGCCATGAAAGAAACATGATGCTTGTCTAGGGTGTTATCATGCGTTATCGGTTTATATGATGGGTTGGGACATCTTTTTTGAACATGTCAAATCCCAATACATTTTTGCTTGGCAAGAAGTCCTGAATACTTCCTCATATCATATCCTCATATTAAAGACCATTTTCCTCTACGAAGAGGGGGATTACACTTCCATGCAACATGAGCAGGAGTACTGATTCGGCTCATGTCCCGGTCTGTCCAAACATCGGCAAAAAAACATCGAACTGAATGGCAGCCACGAGGACCAGAAGTAGCCACAAGGCCAACATGGCAGCGAACACGCAGCGACACCGCCCATGTGGCGACACGGGGGACGAGGAAGAGCAACACGCAGCGATCACGATGTCGAACGGTTTCGATCACGATATTGTATGAGCCAAACGACAAAAATTATGTTTCAAAATGTTTCAAACATGAACATCCGGGCGGACCTGAGTTGATTTTGACCTAGGCACTTGTGGGACGTATGCGCGTCCCAAACAACATGTACTGAAGTCTGTGGCGCCTGGAGGCGTTGGTGGACATTCCTTCTAACGGGATGCAAAAACAACGCATGCGAGAAACAAAGGCAAATTCATGCATGGTTTTGGGCTTTCATAGATATATGTGTCGCTCCACCCATCTGGCCGTTCTTGACCTTGCAAGTTTTGTTACTAGTAGCGATGCCAGGAGCTACTAGTAGCGTCCTTGCTCCTAGTAGCGATGGCCTTTGTTACTAGTAGCTTCTTGTTTCTAATAGTAGTAGTAAGGCCAGGAGCGACCTTGCAAGCTCTCCAAAATTGACCAAGCATTCACCCACATTCTCCCACCAATGACTATGTCATGGATGTTTTCCACGTCGGGCGTACGGCCAGAGTCAGTCTCCTTGGACATGTTCGAACCTGTTTCCAAAACAAACCCATGTTGATGCACATAATGTTGGCAATTGCTTTCAAAACAACAACAACAACAACGACAACAACAACAACACCAACACCAACACGTTTACAATACATGTTAATGTTGGTAATTGTGTTTCATACACTCCAAAAGTGTAACTGTTTCATCCGTCGCATTTGGACTTCTCCACGCAACGAGCTGGTTTCGAGCCACAAGGGATCTGTCCCAGCGACCTCGCACGCTGACAGCGCGCCGGCGGCCGTCGTGAGCGGCCAATGTGAGCGGTTGGTCCAATCGGGTTGGGTCACCCAAATCTCATTAAGCAGAAACCTGGTACCCTGTGATCACTGTGAGTCTATATTTTAAAACATTGCCTTTAGATTGACTTCGGTGGTGCCAAATATAGTTGAACTGGCCAACCCCAGGGATTCGAGCGGGTATAGACCACCCCAACCCAGGACTTCGGGAGTTGTTTTGTGGCATCTCGTGCAAGCCTGGCTGACTCTGTGCTTTGGGATAGAAAGAAGTGGTTGAGACCCGCATCCTCCAAACCAATTCACAGCTCTAACCATGCATGGTGGTGCCACCAATGCATTTGCTGTTGTCTTGTGCAACAAACTCGATGTCGCCTCTCAAACTCGCGAACGTAAGCAAACAGGAATAGTACAGTATGACTATAACATTGATTCTGCTGTCAAACAAGAAAACCCCTTCGCATCATCTGAGTATCAGGGCCAAGTGTCAATTGGTTGAAAACCAAAACACTTATATATATATATATATTATATGTATTAAATCTAATGTGAAAGATGTGGATCTGTATATAATTCAGCAGAGTATGTTAAGATTTGTCTATCCCCCACAACTCCTGGCTCAAGTCACCAAAGACATCAACTCAAACCTTTGGCACAGACCTAAAATATCCTAAAATACAAGAAGTATTATATAAAGTCTTTCATATGGGGTTCAACAGGTGAGCCACCAAGTCGTTGGCCATGTGACCTGCTTCATCTCACCAGCGACACGCCCACCGGGCACCCACTGAGCACCCCCGACGTACTTGGTGTAATGCCTCGGTCCGACCGGTCTCCCCTCGTTGGCGAAGCAAATGGAGGTAGTCCACAAGACCAACGAAGGCAAAAGATATATCTGTAAACAGAGCCAGCATACACTGCAGCTTACATGTGATACCTATGCATGAGTTTAAGTTGTTGTTCCTAATTACAAGTAGTGTGCCCTTTTTGAACACAGCAAGACCAACTTCAAGTCATGGCCATCCCATTCAGAATGGCTTCTTGAACAGAGAAGCTTCCAAGTTGACGACTTGGACCATCCAATACGAGTAAAGACCATCAAGGTTGGTGAGGTGAAGGAACTGTAGATACAATCCCAAAAAACTAGCATCAGTTCTTCCCAGCTCACTCATCATGTTCTCCACAGCACATCTTCTCTGACTTTGCACTCACCATGTTTTTCTTGTTTCTTCTGATCCTCGCCTCCACCCACCGACCCGCAAAAAGCCTCCATGTTTGGTCGAAAGACTTCAAACCCAGATGCAAATGCTTGTCGATGCGCTTTTCCCAGCCACTGTTGTCTGCATCCGAGTGGACCTATGCGCGTCAGCGAGCGGACCGGAGCTCTGAGGGGCTTCGAGGCCGGCTGAAAGCACACGCCCATTTTGGTGAAATTTGGAGCCTGCATCATACAAAAAAAAGGTCAGATATCTTGAAATTAGATTGGGTAAAGGATGTCGAATCTCTGAAGCAGATGAAAATGTAGATCCATACCGGTCGGTTGGATCTGATGTTGCTGGAGTTGCTCATCCAAAAACACCTCAGACTGGATCCGACCCGAGGTGACAGACTGGGTCCGACCTGGTTCGGGAACTGATTTGCATTCAAAAGGCCGAACCAGGTCCACGTGGTGAGATGAGATGACCGACCACGATGTTTCTGCGTTTAACAACAGAATCGATCGGAATACAAAACACAAAGTGAGTGGATTTTCTATGATTTTTCTATTTTCATAAGATGGAAGAACAAACACATCATCTTTACATCAAGAGTCCCCTCATCTTCCTCATTCCTTGATCGATCGGGTCTCAAAGTTGATCTCTCCCCACGTCTGCCCAGTGGGACTGGTCTCACCGCCGATCACGTCCCACCGCCCAGGTGGCGTGGGTTGTTGAATAGAATTAAACAAAGCACGGATCCGGCGTTACAATCTCCAGTCCTCGGGTGCTTTTTGGAATCAACAGTCCACCTTACTTGCATTGAACATGGTAGGTTGGTTGGTTGATTGGACTGCAAGTAAGGTGGACTGTTCCTTTTACTACATGGTTGGTTGATTAGATCTATGGAGTGTATGGAGTGTATGGAGCAGCGGCGACTTTTCCTGCGTCTTAGCCAGTCTCCCGAGCAGCCAGAGAGGCATCCGCTTGGTGGCGAGGGCCAAACACGTGTGACGGCCAATCTCTCTCTCTCTATATATATATATATCATGCCTGACCTATCAATTCATGTGATCGGACGGATCGAACATGTGTTCTGGAATGTGGGGTGGGTTTGAAGGTCCCGCCTGCCTTCTCAAAGAGTGGTTGGATGATTCATGGGCCGCTTCAGTCTACAAGTTCAGTGCCTACAAGTTCAGTGTCTGTTGGCACCGGGGATTGACTCTATCAAAGGTCACAACGGGGGCATATACCCACATCATCCTCCTGCATCCATCCCAATCACCACTGGGCCCTGGCATACACATGAAACATTAATAAACGTGTGCTGATCTACTCCTGTTCTAGTGGTCTTTGCTGTGGAATATATATATATATATACAGTATACATTTATTCTTGAATCATGGAGAGGAACAACATCGATTACATGTAATGTAACTCCATACACTTTATGTTTTGTATGCATCTGTGTGTGAACCTCATTGAAGCAAATGTTCAGTACATGTGTGAGAACACACAATAAGTACAATTGATAGACCTAAGATGACTTGAGCACGAGCCAAAGGGTTGTGTCAAACAATATTTTTTTTGTGGAACACATGGTTGCAAAAATGATGCCAACGCTGAACTACTCAAAATACAAGAACACGAGTGCTGATAGTGACCTGCTACATGGGCTGATAGTGGAAAACACTTGCCCAATCACCCGCTCTGCGCGCTTTCGTTGTGCACGCACGAACTGGGCGCGGGCACTACCGCACTCGGAACCCTCTCCGGCCCATTTGACCTTGCCGCCGCATTCGACAGCTGCGCCAGAATGCTTTCAAGATGCGCCAGGTTCTGAGCCAAGGCTCTCCAGCCAGGTCAAGACATGAGTTTTGCCGGTGATCTTTGGTGGCTGTGGATGTCGCAAGGTTGATCTTGGGACTATAAATCACTCAGAATCAGTGTTGATAAAACAAATATCAAAACATGGTTTCCCTGGTTCCCTTTGTTGAGTTCTGTTTTGTTCCGTAGCGCCTCTTGCTTTGATTTCCAAGGAATCAATCTTGAAACCAAACATGAACATCCCTGAGACATCAAACCTTCTTGGTTGGGTTCAAGCACCTTTCTATTCACCGCCAGGTAGCTATTGGCTATTGGACATTGCCTGCCTGGTCCTCAGAACCTCGCACCCAATCGATGTGGCGGCCCCTTTTTCGTGTCGGGGGCAGTCGGGAACTCAGAACAAATTCCTGGGCGGAGGCAGCTGGCGCATAACACATGGGGAGGGAGACCACTGGATCTTCAGTGGATTCATATTCCGCAGTCGATCGTAGGGAATCAGTCTAGAAATCACAATGATCAACAAAACATATCCAAAACACTAGACACTTCAAAGTGATCCTTTGATTTGTGGACCCATTGGATTACATTGGTTACAATTTCCTTCGTGAGAAACATTCTGCAACGACTTCAAACAAGCTCGACATGTCCCGTTGGTGCGACTTCAGGTCACCCCAACGAAGTGCTGATAGCAAAGCTTGTATTTAACTGCTCCCAACAAATGATCCACGTTTCCAAGGATGCAACTCAGCGAATTTGGATCCATCTTCAGTTTGTTGAGGTGAGTCAGAAAATATGGTGTAGACTTAGTATCCCGACACTATCATGTGCTTACTTAAAGACAGCATGGGAATGCGGAATGAATCTTCACACTAAGACTACACAAAATAAAAAGAAAGAAGCAGTCAGAATTGGCGTCCCTTTAGCGTCTTTAGCTTGTGTTGTGTTGCTTTTATTGTGACTCTTGCCTAGCTGCTTTGCGCAACATTTGCCTCATTTGTGTCGAGGACGCATGGCACATGTTCTGGCAAGGACATAAACACATACAAATTTCTGGGTCCAGGACGGTTCATCTACAGTGGTTTCAGAGGTGAGAAATGGCACAGACCCCAAGATGTCCGGACGACAGATGGGGGTCCATATAGACCACCGCCCACTTGGGGTCTGTGCCATCTACTCAGTCTCAATCCACTATACAAGCAAAATGTGGTTTCTCAATGGGCAGTGCGACCGGCTCTGCAAACCACTTCCCCCCTGATTCTTTCTCGCCGAACGCCCAGCCAACTCACCGATTGGTCCGTGCCAAGCTACGTCTTCTTCATGATGCGCAGGAACTCTTCCTGATGATCAAGCTTGCAATCTATAGGATACCAGGATCTTTCAACTGTGCAGAATTCCTTCCTTTTTGGCCAGTTTTGCGGATGGACAGGCAGAAATTAGGCTAGGTTTCAGGGTTGCTAGCTATAGATGTTGGATCCAACAGCGAATGGAATTAGCAGAATTAATTTCGAAGTGACCATCTATTTGCTCACCCTGAACCAGAATGTCCTCAACACCTGTCCTTGACCCATTTTGACCCTACCAAACCGGATGGACCGTTCTGGGGGGGCGCTTCATCAACGTACACCCCACATGACTACCCGCCCCGCCACGACTCTATCGCCGCGTTGGAATGCGTTTGGCCTCATTGACCTCCCCATCGCCGTCGCGGTCGGCTTCATCGATCATCTCCTGCAGCTCCTGGACCGCGCGGTCGCTGACGCGAGGTGCCCGGCGCGAGGTGCCCGGCACCGGCGGAGCCCGGCGCCTCGTCGGTCATCCGCTCTCCAAGCTCCTGGCTACCGGACAAACGCACGGGTTTGCCGAGATTGGTTGTTGAAAAGCAACATGAATGTAGACTTAATCTGGACATTATAGAAAGTATATGAACATACAAACTCTCTATACTGCAAATGGTGTTTTTTTTTACACAAACACATGTTTAAGTTGAACATAACAGGAGTCTGCTCATAAGTTGTCCTTGATTCTTTCATTCCATGCTTTTCTTCCTTCATTCCTCTTGTCCAATTCCTTTGATGTCACTTCACTCATGATGGAGACAGAAACGACCGATCGGACCGACAGTGGCCATCTTTGGAAGTCGACCAAGCGGAAAATGTCGCGACCGTCATTGGAGAAGGTGCATCATTACCCATGCACTCCATAGATGGCATATTAGTATATATTTGTCAGGATCAATGCAGTAATATATTCTATACATGGAGCATCTGGGTTAGGAAATTCAGGACATATGAGGAAATGACTCTCACGTAGACGGTTGATGTATACTGTAAGATTTTATAGCCCTCCGCAGCCAGATTCAGATGTCAAACCATTCTGTGAGTTCTTTCTTTGCTTTTGTTTTGTAATTAATCGACAGCCCAACAGCCTACTTTAATTGAAGTCTGATTTTCTGCAATATTTCAAGCACCATGTAGAAATAAGTAGCACCTCATCTCGTGTGCAGTACCTGCAAAACTTGGGAAAGGGGCTATGACCACGTCAAGCTACTGATCCTTCTGAAGAAACTGCGTCAAAGGCCCTCACAACATCTCACAACGGTCATCAACCACCAAAACAGTGGTGGTTGGATTGAGCAAGTGGGATGTCTATATAGCTATATACCAAAAATAAAGACATAAAACAAACAGGTCTGTAGTGTTGGGATGGCCTAGGTCTGTTGGCATGGCCTAGGTCCAGTGTTGGGATGGCCTAGGTCGGAATACTTCCTTGGTGTTGATATATAATCCGATGTCTTTTTCCCTGTCGCCCGATGAAACTCCTCATGCACCCTGGGGCGGTGAACTACAAATCCTCAGAATTTCATACCAAGCATGGCAATCAAGACTTGGGGCTGCCACAACAAGCACTGGAAGCCTCAAAAATGTGTCCCAACCGTCCCAACCCCTCTTCGGTAGACTTTGAGTAGCGGGCCATCCCAACCCCATTGCAACTTCGGTAGACTTGGGGCCGTCCCAACCCCCAACGTGATATTGTCATGATTCTTCGTGCTTCGTTCGTTGCTCAGCCGACCGGTCGGCAGAATCGCAAGGATCCCAAGGATCTAAGAAAGCACAGGGTCGGCCTTGGCCACGCGCTTGAGGTTCTTAAAGGAAATCTTCCCGGTCTCATCATCATCGAAGAGGCGGAAGGCCTTGCTCAAGACACAGTGGGGTGTATATCATGATCCTACACTTTGACGAACACATCACATGGAAGTGGAGATTGAAAAAACAACTGTGTGTAGAGGATATCGTATTCCAGGGGCTCATTTTCCCACTTCCATGTTAGTGAGTCAGAGTGTAGAGAATTTGGCACCCATGATGGACCTGGAAGCGAAGCACTTTACAAGAACCACTGCTTTCTCAGTGCCTTACTTCTAGAACTTTGCTTTTGTGATAGGTTGTGACTGGGTGAGGCGTTTGTCAACTTGTATAAATCCGACTCCGGGCCGCATCAGGATCTGCTAAACACCATCATCGTTGTCTGATTCTGCTAGTTGGATATTACTGTAATGGAATGTACTGGGACTTCACGATAGGACTGTGGGATGTGTCTTATTCGATGTACTGAACTACCCCTTGGCAAGAAGCATTTGCAAATCTGGCCGCCGGGTCTTGGGGATATACATGCATTGTATAATCAGGTATATATGATGATGATATACACCCTAGAAGTCCAAAGACTATCTGTAGAACCTACATGGCTTCTGTTCTGAGAGGACAAAAAAACATGTGTTGACTCCAAAACAGCGGTCACTCAGGTTCAAATGAGGTATATTGTATTGTCCAAGCTACATCTCCATTATTGTAGCAACCCTGACCCAACACTATCTGCTGTTATCTACAAAGCTTCTGAGCTTTTCCGAGACTCCAGCTGAGTGACACGAAGGCACAAGACTCACGAGACCTTCAAGGTGTGTGTTAAATTATATTGGCACTTGATGTGGCATACCTGGTATCATCTCTCGATGGGATAATGTGTTTGACGATTTGACAGCAACCAAATACCCATGATATGCCCATAGGCAGATTATATCAAAGCTACAAATGTCTGTTTTAAACATACAGTCAAAGTCCTTTTCAGGCTAGCTCATCTATGTTTATCTGTCATCTATGGGCAAACCCCATGACCAGTAACAGTGGATGATGATGGTTGGGTTGCAGTTGCAAGGCCGACATCTCAAAAGATTGATAACATTTGTCCGGTTGTTAGAAGTTTACTGGGACCGCAAAGCCACCCAAGTCATCTTCAAAAACAGATCACCATCCAGTCTATCCGCCAACTATCCGCCGACTATCCGAACTCCTGTCTCAAATCCCAATCAAAGCATCTGAGAAGCCAACCGCCAACTGGATTATTTCATAATGATGTCACTGTCGAGCAATTTGTTCAGGTGGCCTTCAAGATCTCATCCTTGGGATCACGGTTCAATATCTTGTGCGTCATCATCTTCAAGAACTCCTGAGAAAGCGGAGCTAAAGCTCTGGTCAGCTGTCTGCTAGGCATAACAAGACAACTACAGTGAGTGGAAATCAATAGCTTGGCAGCCAGCCCCTCTTGTACACCATCAGTACCCACCCATCAATACCAAAAGGATGATATCGAACATACGACTAACTTTGTTTGCTGTTGGATAAATCCAAGTCAGAATATCTGTTCCATGGATTGTACAGATTGACCCCAGCGTGCCAAGCATGCCGCCGCCAAGTGTCACCAACTCAACACCTACAGTAAACGTTTGGAACGGGTCATCTGCTTCTGCTCACACAAAGCACAGAACTCGTTCCAAAGGGGTGGCTTTTGGAGAAAGCCGTGGCCGGTTGATCATTAATTCTCCACCCAAAAAAACAAGTTGTTGCAACTCCTGGCAGGCCGTTCAAATGATCCGATATGTTCGTTGCTCTGTTCACAGCCGTCCTCATAGCCGATGGTGCCAGATCCGTCATCCTCAACATCATCCGACCGAAGTGTCTCGCTGCTGAGTGATGGAAGTCATGTCAGTCGAATTGGCACGAACACCTTTCCAAACACTCCACAGGGCTAGAGTACCGCGATGTAGCTTTACCATACATGGAGTGTTTGGCCTTGGCTTTTGCGGTGGCCCTGTTCATATGAGGCTCCCCCAATGCCCGGGGGTGTCTTTATGTGACGGGATTGAGCTAGTCCTGTTGATGCACAAGGGATTTCGATAACCACCGTGGCCAATTCCAAAGTGTGCATCATGTTCTCAAAGTGTAGATGAAGCAGTGTTTCTCCATCGACAGTCTAAATGAAACCCAAGCAACTCGCTTGCTGCATTGAATACGGTTTAAGAGAATCTAAAAATGTACAGAGTAAACCAGGATCATTTCTCCTGGCTGGACTAGACCTGCAGTGACTTACTTGATTGGGTTTCCATTGGAACACACCGTACCACGGATGGTGCAAGCAAATTGATCCTCTGCCAGAGTACTTTCAGTGTTTCAGCTTGCGTGACGCTCAGCGACGCTCCCATCTGTTCGTGGTGCCAAGGTGCGTCCACATCAGAGATCATCTTTTGAATCTCCTCCTTCTTTGGCTCAAAGCCCAAGGCTCGCATGGCCACCTCGGAATCCGAAGCCATATACGTAGCTTCAGAGAGGTATATAACATTATGTAAAACATGGACCTTTTGGGGGTATGTCATGCTGTCTTCTGATCAAACCGATGGATATCTATGGATCCATAACATGTAGGTGTCACGGTGCTCTATGATCCAAGAGCATATATGTCTCAATTCCTTCTTCACCTAATTACACCGAGGAGTACATAGTTGCTTCTGGCTATTTCCTCCCAGGTGTTCTTGTTGCGGGAGGGGTGATTCGGGACAGTGATGTAGCCACTTAAGTGGACAGGTTGTGTGAAGCTTGGAAGAAGCATCCGCACACATCTCTTCAGTGTCCCAACCAGTGAAGAGATAAAACCCCCCCAAAACCATCCGGATTCACTGATCCGGATTCCAAAAATATGGTCCTTTCATGTCCTTTCCTGTCAAAACAGGGGTCAAATGGGTTCTACGGGGGGGTTCGACACAAAATGTGTCCACACATCAAGCCCCAGTGGTTCATTCATAGTATCTTTTAGTCATGGAGGTTAAGCTGGATATCGATGTGTGTGTGTGCATCAAAATAGAGCCCTTGAAGAAAGAACAGAACCTATATTGAAATACCCACCCGGCCCTCGCCTTTCGTTGAATTCCTTGCGCAACATTGGTTGCAAAATGTTGTAAAACTACAAATAGATAGGACTATTTAGATCAATAATGAAACAAACCAGCGCACTTGACAAAGGCAAACCCAAGTGTTTGTCGAAGTGCTCGGGCCTGCCCTCGTCACCGAGGCACCTTGAGTTCTTTGGAGTCAATCTCACCACTGCCATCGGTGTCGAACAAATCGAAGGCCTCCAATCAATCTCACTCGGTGTGACGGCCCTTTTCCGGGTCAGCTTCCCTTGCTCTCCGATGGTATACGATGGTCTTCAGCGTTCAGAATGGAGCACCCAACGTCTTCGTGTGAAGAAGTGGAATGTTCGAACATCCCACGTCCTCATCGCGATGTGGTTCGTGGTTCATGGTTCTCGCTCACCACGGCTACCACGGCATGGAACCAGATGGCTCACCACTCGATGGCTCGTAGCAATGGATCGATTCTGATCCATGACCCGACACCGCAAAAAACAGGATCTGAGTGTATACCTTTAGAAACAACGGTTGAAGGTTTGAGGGTGATTTCTTCGCGGAAGATAACACGTCTAAAAAAAAAACCCTAGGGATCCACATACCTTCTCAGAAAGCACTTGGGCCCTCCAAGACATAAACAGTCTCCAATCACCTTCTGAGAAAGTACTTGGATCCCTAGGGATTAAAATAAAGCATGACGTCATAGTCCGGAAGTGCTGTGGAGCACCTTCTTTCGTCAAACCCCTTCGAGTTGGGCGCCATGTGATGTGTGAAATCATATGTTTGGGGAGTGTCTTGAAGCCTGCCGCTTCACCACCATCCTGGCTGTTGATACTATATAATACGTACATATATATATATAGTCCTTGCTTAAAAAATATGTTGAACAAAGAAAACTGGAACACATAAAGCGTGCACGCGCCACAAAACAAAACATGAACATGCAACATCATGCAACCATGTACCACATGTACCAAACCAGCAGCCAAAAACATCCAACAAGAATCTGTCTTCCCAACATATAAACTATAAGACGAGTTTGCCCACTTTGTGAGAGAAGTACTAGGGAGACTGATATGACTCGACTCGATTCGTTGCGACTTGATGCTTCACATTAAAAAAAATAAAATGAAAAACGGAAAAAAACAGGAAAAACAGGATGCGTTCCTTCCCAGCCAGTGACAAACTCAGGTTCTCAGCTCACAAATCGCATTGAATTTCTTTCGTCACAGATTGTTTAATTTGTTGCAAAAAGACCTACCTACAGGAAGCCATAGGGAACTGGAAGTCAAAAGGGCTCCGCCTTTGGGGTTTCGATCAAACCGAGATCTGTCCGAAGCCATCCCGGACCGGGTCAATCCCGTTTGGGCTCCTGGCGCACATGATCGCACATGGCCAGAAGGTAGTTAGACAGTGAAAGACCTGCCTGGCACCCACCCCAACCACCCAACAACCACCCAACAACCACCTTCTGCCGGTTCCTTGGAGCCTTAGGGAAGAGCAGTTTTCTGAGTTTCGGACACTAAGGTCACTAGGGGCGTTTCATCAGGTCCATACTCTAGCGCTTCCCCCCAAAAAAAAACAGACAAGCGCTCATGCGGCTCCCGACACACACACTCCGAGCGCTGCGCCGACTCCAGCGGAAGGGCGTTCCGAAGGAAGGGAGCCCGCGCGAAGGGAGGCGGCCTCTTTGATCTCCTGCTTCTGCTCATCCGTGAGCTCCTTCTGCTTCTTCCCACCTGATTTCAGGAAGAAGCAAGGCTTGGTCTGACTCAAGCCAAGCTAGGGGGTGCAACATTCAAGGCGAGCATTCATGTAGATTGCAGTATATTGCAGTATTGTACTGTCACAAAAAAGCTTCATTCAAATGCAAAAAATGGCGTTCCCAGTGGTTGGGTGTTATCCTCATGTTCAATCAAACACTACCTCTGCATACCTCTACCGTTGTGCGATCACAAACATTCAAATGTCATCAAATGTCCATCTATGCGCTGCAGTTGGTCAAATAGGAGCATCTCAATCTGTGATACTTAGACATGCAAGGCAAGCAGTGTTTCTCATATTCACCAAGTTGTGGCTAAATTGCCAAAATCACAGTGGAGTAAGGGTCACTCTCAGACTCTCTGATCAACATGATCAAACGGAATATCATGATTATCATATGACTGGTATGTAGACTCGTAGACCTATGAACTTCAACGGTGATTTTCGGACCATCGCAAGAAGTTACTTGTAGCTCGTATCACACTACCACCCTACTCTGCATGAAGGCACGAACCAGCACTGCTTGGCCTGAGAGAACAAATCCGACGGTAATCAACAAGTTCCCCCTTCAGGCCTGTGTGGTACAATGTTACAAGTTTAGTCTAGGAAATGGTGCTGCATTCTAACAAACTAGAGGCAAGCAAAGGAACCATCGCCACTCATGCCAGCCATGCAAACCTCTATGTATAGTTTCTCCACTCAACCGTGTCAATGTCATTGACCCTCCATACCGCAGTTGCCACACCATGAGTGGCCGCCACATGCCACCGATCTATTCGGTTTGGCACGCCTGCATTGAAGCGGCGAAGTGCCATGGCGTACGAGGTGTTGGATGGAACGACGAACCGGGGAAATCACACGGAACTCGAACGCTGCGATTCGGCGAGTTCCGAGTTCTGGCAGATGGCCATGCGAACTGGCGGCAGCAGGGCGACCAAATGGATGATGGATGGTTTGATCCCAAACATCCAAAGATCTCCAAACCATCCAATGGGACTGGGGTCCAAGAGAGGTTAAGTGACCTGAACTAAGACCTTCCTGGGGTACCTATGGGATAGGCTAGTTCAGGTCCTTCAACCTCTGTTGGGTGGTTGAATAGGAATCAATGTAGGTACACCTCTTGGTCCCATGGAGCCTGAGTCGAGCACCACTACTTGGTACTATGGAGGCACCTCTCAGGGAATGGATGGAACACCGACACCAATGGAGGTCTTCGCAGGGTCTGACTCGGTCTGACTGACTCTATGACTCTATGCCCTTCACATCCCTTCACCCAAAGCAACCAAGCGGTTGCCAAAGAGATCCAAGGCTCTGGGATGGGCTCTGGCGACTGACTCATGACTACTCATGTTTCCCAACCGACTCACCTGGCTACACCACTTAGACTGGGCTTCGACTTGTCTCCTCGACGCCCCTATTTTGGACGCGCGTTGGGCCCAGCATCGACGAAGCACTGCGGATGGAGGGACTCTAGCAACGACGGAGGACTTACTTCTGCAGTGCAAACATCCACGGCTATGGCGATGGCATCCCTTTCCAAAAACATTGGTGTGGTCCATTGTCGGCATTCTATATATAATATAATCAAACATATGTCGGGATGCGATAGATAGGTTCATTGGACTCGGGTACATACCCAACTGCTTCATCAGCACCCTTTTCTCTTGCGCTCTGACGAGCCTTGCATGTGACATTTGCGAAAACTTCAGGCCGACCCCAGTTCCACCGCAAGTACCAAAGCACTTACAGAAGAACAGGGCGAGAGTCACGCGTGGGCTGAGCAATGGCTGAGCCATGTTTCCATTCTTAGCATCTGCAACTTTTAGAATGGCAGGTCGATAGCATGTAGGGCACATGGAGTCTTCAAAGTTTACCTTCACAATGCAATATCACCCGCTTGTGGGTGAGACATAAGGCATAAAGAGGTCAAAAACTAGCAAGTTCCTTTGTGCTTGCTGGCAGCCAGCGTCCGCACACTAGTTCATCAATTTTCCTCTCATCCGATGTGCCTTGAATAGCAGATCTGTGCCGATCTGACAGTTTACCACCTATACCGTCCTCAGAACTCTTGGCTCAAATCCCCAAAGACAGTTATTGGCCAATCTCTAAGAGATATTGGTATATACCTGGAGTCCTGGTGGGGCCTGGTGAGTCGATCGCACTTGTGTGCGACCACGAAGTCAACCAGTGCAGCTGGCGGAACAAAGCGCCCCAAGCGTCACTGCAGAACTGTTGAGTTACGACCAAACAACCAACGTATGAATCTATGAAGAAGGTTTTACAATGTACATGGGGGGGTTGTTAATCAAAATTCTAGACTACTATGTGTGTGAATCCCCAACAAATCATCCATAGCTGAAAAAAAGCCTGGTCCCTCAAGTGGTTTCTTCCCACACTCCGACCAATGGTTCTCAAATGTGGTGAAGCCCTTGATGTTCATGTCAAGTGGGTTCTCTGATCAAATCTAAACCATTCAACATCATTCGACCTTGATATCCATCCCACATTTCTTTTTTTTAAATTAAACTAGGTTTGTCATTGGGTATATATAAAACTACGACTATATGATATGATATAATGGTTCTTTTCAATAGGTACCTTTCTCCATCTTTGTCGGGCTCCATCCGCGAGTGACACCGCGTGACTGCTCGGTCTGTCGGGCACAGGGCAAGTGCTGTGTGCAGGTCCCAGGACCACCTGTGAGTCAGGTCACAGGCAGCCCGATTTGGGCCACGGAGCCTATGGATGCCGAAGCCGATGCAGTTGATGTAGATGAGCTTTAGAGAAAACACGATTTATACATGTGTTTAACATGTGGTTTTCGGGTGGATATGTGATGTGTTTTTTTCTGCGTAAGAACCACTAACAGTGGATGGGGCTGGTGAGTCTTCATGGTTTGATTTTGGTTGTGTGGAACTTTGACAACATTGACCTTGCAGTCAAAGGAAGTGCTACTTCTCTGCTGTTAGTAGTAGGACTCGGCAAACATCCACGTGCATTTGCTCTGAATGTCTCTTCAGTGAAAGGTGTTGGCTGAAGAACTGAGATCACCATGTTCCAAGGTGCAATATGCAAATTGTTGTCTTTTTGTTTTATCAATTGGCCCTCAAATGGCTGAACCCTGCTTCAACATTGAGGCTCAGCTTATTTTGCTTCTTGACATCGAGAGCAGGACATCATAGGAAATCCATCCCCAAAGGAAGGCGAACCGACTACCAAAAAAACAATGAAACAGTATGTGCGTAGTTTGCAACAGTCCATAGTCTGCACTGTCCATGATAAAGACTCAAGAAACATGTATTAAGTTGTTCACCCATGGACACATCGGAATCCACCTCTTGACAACTTGACTTTGCGACTTCTCTTCCTGTCAAGAAAACAAACACAGCGACAACCACCACCACAACAACAACAACGACCACCACGACAACGACAACGACGACAACGACAACGACAAAAACAACAACTACAACAACATGGCAGGGAAACTTTGGACCCCCTCCAACTGACCTCCAAGTGGACCTCAAGGTGCAAAACCCTCCAGGTCTATAGTCGACCAACACTCCGACGAACACGTCACTCCAGGTCCAGTCAAATAGCTCCCCTGTTTTGCAGCGGAAGTGTCATCCACTTCCAAGGGACCATGCCATCCACGTAACCATGGGACCATGTGTGATGTGTTTGTCAGTGTAGTTGATTCCAAGGAAGACTGCACGTTGCTTCGTTGAGAAACCGGTCTGAAGCTCCGATGGTCTAAAAGATCTGTCGAGAGTGACATCTCCCAGGAATGGAGTTTACAGCCCAGTCTTGAACAACCCAGTAGTCTACAACCTAGTCGAGAGTGACATCTCCAAATCATATATTGAACAACCCGGTCTTGATATGACCTTTGACATGTTCCTGCAAAGTCAGCAAAACACATTCAAGGCTCTGAGAGGCCAGAAAAGGCTCCGAGCGGCCAGAATGGCATTGGCGAATTGTAGCTGTGACCCTCTCAGAAGAGGTTCCTTGGCATTGGCGTCAGAAGAGTTTTCTTGAGTCAAATTGAGACGTCCATGATCCACATGATATAAGCCCATGACCCATTGAACCCCCAGCAATATCCCTCTATAGACCTGGCAATCTGTCGATCATGGAATCCTGAGTGTTGAATTGAGTGAAATCGAAATAATAGATGGCGCATATGCCCGGCGATGGTTTTGCATATTTGCCCCATCAATGGTGGGGCGCCAATGAACGATAAACAAACAAACCACACACACACAAAAAAAAAATAATGAAAGGAAACACGCTCACCAAACCAAGAATGCAAAGGAACAACATCAAGCTTGACAAGATAAGCAGAAGCCACATTGATGGTGTAATGGTGTAATGGTGTTTATTGCCTGCAAGAATGCTCAGTTAGTTAGTTTCCGTGCATTTACAATGTTTAAAGTTTCTGTTCATTCCATGATGCACAAACAATGTATATATAGTTTGCTGCTGGTGTCAGCTTTATTGCAAGGCCACCAAAAAAACAGTCCAACACCCTTTGCCGCGTCTTTGACCGACACGTTGGTATGGAAGAGTTGGCCTTTGCGCTGCATGGCATCTTATGGAGGAAGCCGTGACCAGGATGAAGAATTTTAAGCAGCCTACGTGCAGAAATGCTTTGCGCAGTTTACCAGACAGATCGGCACATTTAATAAATTCCACCACCGGGACTTGAACCCGGGCCGCTCGGGTGAGAGCCGAGTATTCTAACCAGCTAGACTATAGCGGATTCTGTTGGGGACAAGAGGGAGCCACGGTTGAAGACTGGATGTGAGACAAAGCCACGTCCAGGTTAGATATTCACTTGAGCAGTGCTGGGGATGAGTTGTGTCTTTTTTGAGGAGCGTTTCTGCAGTGTGCGCATCATGGCCAGCCTTACCTTGATCGGTCTGCTGGTGGCTTTGACCCCACAACCATTCTTCACCGACTCAACCCACATGGCTGGTCTGACCATCTTGGTCTCCAAGAGGCGTCTTCTTCATGATGCGCAGGAACTCCTCCTGAGGCACGGATCCATAATGCCAGACAAGTACGACTGTTTCAAAGACGCAAGCATACAAACAACAGGTAAACGTAAACCTACAAACATTGAATACCGATATCCACATAAAGCCCAGTAGGCAAATGACCACATGTTGGGGTCATCGATGGTCATCGGGTCGTCGAGGGCCGGTATGGTATGGTCTACTGTTCGTGTCTACTCAACGCCTTCCTCATGCATCGGACGACAGGCGGACAGGCGGGCTGGCCACCCACCTGGGAAGGGAATGAGCATCCTCCGGGTGTGGACCGTGAAAAGCACAACCAGTTCTACTGTAGGTCATGGATGGTAATGGTCACATGGGATTGGGCAGTTCAAACTCCCACTGATTGCGAGTTTGATCGCGAAAGTGGGGATCTGTCCGCATGCGTCGATCAGCTGGCGGTTGTGGATGACTCCACGCCAAATTGAAACAACTTTCTCCAATCACATCCCCAACTGATCAATATGTCTGTCACCTGTGACAAAGTTTCTGGCTTTGCAGTTGACTTCTTACACTTTAGCCCTTGTTTGTCCTTAATTACAGTATAATATTACAGTATATTACAATCTTTAAACACTTCCCTTCCACATTTCATCTCTAAGTTGTTTGGCAATGTGTTTCTTGTGTTTACTCATGTGGAATAAACTCAGGTTTCATATGCTTTCATCCATCTTCGGCTCCCAAGGTCACGTCATCACCCCGTTCACCAAGGTCCACCACCTTCACCACCTTCCCCACACGCCTCCCCTCCCCGCCCCTCCCGGGGCCTCGTTGACCTCACCATCGCCGTCGCGGTCCGCCTCGTCGATCATCTCTTGCAGCTCCTCCGGGCGACGGCGCCGTGGCGCAGCGCGAGCCGCGCAGCAGGGTGTAGAGGGGTCGCGGAACTAGACGAGATGGGTGCCATGCACTGGGGGTAAAAAGCGGGTGAAGCTGCAGAAAAGAGACAGAACAGTTCTTTGGATGGTGAAGGATGCTCAAGGCCCATGTAACGGACTCATGAGCGCATGAGAGAGAAGAGGGACCACTCCTCCGCAGCTCTCATGAGAGGTCACGGGGTGAGAGTCGACCAAACTCAAAGACCAGGGACCAAACTTGGGCAGCTCAAAGAAATATGACACAACAAACTGGTGTTGGTCCCTGGTGTTAATCCAAATATGACACAACAACCACAAGTGTGTAATATTTAAACCAATGAAAGTAGATATGACACAACAAACTTGCATTGGGCAGATCAACAGTCGTTGTTGGCTTGGGTTGTCCTTGTTCCCTTACCCAAACAATCCATGGGACTGGCATAGGTACATAGATTGGGGTGGTTTCAGGGGTCAATGTATCATTATGTAAGTAGCATTAAATAGCCATACCCGTACCCTAAGGCTCCATGTACCTTCTAAGAAGGTGTTGGGGTGGGTTTGGGGGGGTCCAAATACCGAGGAGGTAACGACTGGAGACACAGAGTGTCTGGGTGATGGAATCTCTAAATCCGCATAACGCCTTCTAGGCTTAAAAAAAACACTCCTTGGCTGGAAGTTCCGGCTTTGTACAGCTGTGACCCTCTCACCCTTGTCAAAGCTTCGGAGATGTTCGGATGGCAACATGGCAACACGACTGGCAACACACTTACAAAGGCATCAACAAATTGAATGTGATCCCTCTCACCATCCCCTCCTCACCTCGTCCCATCCTTCCGACCTCATCCCTTCTCCTCTCCTCGTCGGTCATGCGCTCGCCCAACTCCTGAGGGATCCAACAGGCGGTGTATGCTGGGCTGCTGTTCGACTGGGCAGTGAAGCTGCTGGTGTATGCTCAGTCAATCCCCCAAGATATATGCCAGTCAACCATGCTTGTCTGCTCAGTCAGCCAGTCCTGGTCAACATGACAATGAAACGACAAATCAATTGACCAAACTGGAGGGGCCGGCAGAGGAAAGCAAACACCGTCACCAACCCCGAGCAAAGCTTCATGTCAAGGCCGCACTATTCTTTGGAACTTGATGACTCGATGGAACTTGATGACTCGATGAACTAACCAACCCACCGAAGAGTTCATGACCTCAGTTTGAGCCATGTTCATGGTGTGCATTTGCCATTTCTGCTAGCCAAGTGCATACAACAAAAACTCAATTCCGGGGTCTCCACCAAACAACACCTGTTTCCTCCTGTTTCACAGGGCTCAGCTCATCTTCAGGTCCTTGGCCAGCCATGTGCAGCCATTGCCCTTCATGGATTAGGAGGACCGCGCCTTGGCCACGCGCTTGAGGTTCTTAAAGGAGATCTTCCCGGTCTCATCGTCATCGAAGAGGCGGAAGGCCTCACGGCTTCGCGGCGCGTGTTCGGCGGCGCCGGTGTTCGGCGACCTCCAAGCCCTCGATGAACACGTGCGACCGTGCGGTCGGGCGATGTCTTCGAGGATGGAAAAGGAAAAAGCTGAAACAAGTCATGTTGCAGGATGTTAAAGGTTACCTTCAGAGCCACTTTCAGCCTTTCATGCTCTTTCAGGCTACAAAACTCGTCCGTGCGTTCCTTCCCCAATCCCGCCCTACCAATTCCGGTGCACAGTAACGTGTAACGCTCGCCGGCCGCCCCTGCAAACCTTGAGGATTTCATCCTTGGGGTCACGGTTCAAGATCTTGTGTGTCATCATCTTCAAGAACTCCTGGCAGGTCCGGCATGAGTCTGGGGGAAACCCCCTGCGGATGGAGGCGCCTGCGGATTCCGCCAGTTGAACATCATGGTACACTCACTGAAATCATTCATGGTTACTTGGATGGCATGGCTCCAGAAGGATGACCATGAAATCCTCATACCACTTCCAAGTTAAGGGTTGGATGGTGATGTCTGTGCATTTGAACCTGCATATACCTGCATAGTGTCTTTTCCTGTGCCATATTGTTGCTTTCCCATTCTGTGCTGCTTGATTCGTTGATCAATTGTAGGAAGCTCCTCGTGGGCCCTGGGTACCGCCCACCCCTGCCCTCGGTACCCACTCCCAAGAGAAGGCCACCCGCCTCATAGCCGATGGTGCCAGAGCCATCGTCCTCGGGGCTTCCATACCGAGTGAGCCACTGAGTACCCTACAGGCGGTGAGCATGTCATGTATACAAAAGCAAAGTAAATGGTTACCACTCTGATCTTCCCATCCCGATCACCCAGTGCTTCGAAGACCATTTTACTCTACAAACTTGAGCTTGTTTTCCTGTGGACTAAAACTTTGGGGGGAGTTGGTCCTTCACCACCATTAAGAACACTTGAGCAAACCTTAAGCTGGAGTCAAATGGCCCGCTTCCCCGCTGCCAAGATGCGTCCACGTCCGAGATCATCTTCTGAATCTCCTACAGGCCGGAAAACAGTCTTCTGCTATCGTCCTTTTCTTTTGTCTCAACACAAAATTCAACCCACTCCAACACCCTCCAACACCCCAAACATCAACATCAACATCTAAGGACTGAAGTTTCAATCCAACTCATGCCGCTCGTGCTCCTCCTTCTTGGGCTCGAAACCCAAGGCACGCATGGCGACCTGCCCAAACGAAGCACGTCTGACATGGCAGTCACCAGACCGGTGGACCGGTCGGTGTCCGGTCCCTGATCGTGGTGGGCTGGGGCGAAACCAGCCAGGTGACCCCGACATGAAGGTGCTGGTATAGGTGATTTGGTGTATCCCATCGATTGATCCATTCCCGTTCCGACTTCCTGGTGAGAAGAGGTGCTTATAGGTCCAAACCATCCCAAACCCATGCCAAACACCTGAACCCCCGGAGTGTCCATGTGAACCCTATATAAAGTATGTAGAACCCTAGGAATCCAGCTGATTCGATCCCCCTCCCACCCAGCAACCCACTGGCCAACCTTGAGCTCCTTCGAGTCGATTTCACCACTGCCATCGGTGTCGAACAAATCAAAGGCCTCGTGGACCAGGCGCTCCGCGGCCGCGCGGGTTCGTCCGGACGGTTTCGGAGACGTCCAGGCCAGGCTGGTACATGGTGGCATAATGGTGGAGGGGCATGTGGGACATGTGGAAAGCGTGGAGGCTCATGGTTTTCACCTGTGGAATCAAATACTACATGTTCCGTAGGAGTCCGCACCAGTCAGATTCGATTGAACTTTGGGAACAACAATCCAAGAAATCCAGTGTCCAACGAACAATTACGGTGGTTTCAGAACAGATGGCACAGACCCCATGATGTCCTTTAGATGGGGGTCCATATAAACCACCTAACTTGGGGTCTGTGCCATCTACTCTCAATCTGCGTCTTCGATTTGGTACCCTGAAGCTGTTGACACGGCGCTCCATGGCCTCCTTGATCTCCTGCTTCTGCTCATCCGTGAGCTCCTTCTGCTTCTTCCCACCTGGCAGCACTTGTGAGCAAAGCACACAAATAAAATATACTATAAGTCACAGCAAGTTACCAAAAATAATAAGACTACACCTAAATCAGGATCATCTATGGAAAAAAAACACACATTCATATATTATATATAGAACAAATAAACAATGCAAGAGCCCTGGAGAACGAGATCCATTCAAAGCGTCTTTGGCGACAGCTGAGGAAATGGGATGGGCAATGAACCCTGCAAGAAAAGAACAGTAGAGTAAGCTTACTTGGAGTGTCGTATACACACACATATACAGACCCTTGAACCTGTGCAACATACTTAGGGGGGCTCATGCTGTTTTTGATTGTTTTTGAACAAACTGGAGACTCGAGCCCCTGTTTCAGGATCAGGGGCCTTGTTTGGAGGTTCTCCACCAGATTTGCACTCAGGACAAGTCCGTCTCAACATTTGCGGGGGCCTGTTTTGAGAGACCCCCCTACAGCTGCAAGCGGCATCAAGTTGAAATGGATGTGTTGCTTCTACCACGTCTGAACCTCTGCACCCCAAGTCTCCACTCCACCTGCGTTGAAGCGGCGAAGAGCCATGACTGAAGACTTCGCTTCTACGCGTATCGCTCGCCGATCGGTGAGGGGCTTCCACTGCCGATCGAGCCGAGGGCGGCGCGGAGCGGTGGCGAGCGACGAACGTCATCTGTGCGGTCGAGGCGGTCCGCACGAGCCGAGGCGATGGTGGGGTTGGGAGGTCTCCGGACTCGGAGAAGAACGGTGGATACTGGGTTTACCCTTATAGAACTGATGGAACTTCACCAGCGGAAAGTGGAGATTTGCCAGAGAAAACACGGCCATGCGATGCGCAAACGCCCAAAACATGCTCGTGAACATGGGATTGGTGTCTCGCTCTCGGTTGGGTGCCATCCCACTTTTGCCTGTCCCAACTTGCGGTACTCTTCCTTGCAACTTGCAGGAATGATGTCCAGTTAGTGCGAACCGTAGCCTTTTGGAGCATGGCCCCACCATGGTATCCAATGCTTTGCAAAGCTTTACAACACACAAAATGCTCATCATCATTCGCCTGTCTGAGCTTTGATGTTTCAGACATGCCAAAACAGGGGAAGAAGGACTCGTGTACCTACTGCACTGCTTCTACTTCAAGCGCCCACTGCCACTGATAAAGACAAACACAGGTACCCAAAGACAAACACCTGTAAAGAAAAGAAGTGGAGTACACCCCTTGAACTCATCATGCTGATGTGGACAACAACCACTACCCGACGAAGCCCGTTTGATCCTCCTCGGACTCGTCATCTCCGAGCCCTCCGGGGTCGCGGTCCGTCGTGGGAACCGGGTGTCCCTGCGTGGGTCAACAGGAAGCGAGGCTTTAAGCTCACGGAGCGTTTGACCGCATTCACCTCAGGCGGAAACAAACGACGGACACGGTGGGTGGTGCGAAGTGGGGAGATGTCCAAACCCTTCAACATTGGACTGACCCAGTTCTTCACACGTCACGCCGACACCGACTCGTTCTTCCTTTAAGATCTTTAAGGGAACGCATCTTGAAAACCAACAACTCCCTGCGCTAATGAGACCGGATGTCCCACTGGGCGGGGTCCCACCCCCACCATTGAAAAACACATTCACTACCAAATCCCTCACTGCTCCAATTTGTTCAAGAACAAACATATATAATATATGATATATTGTATTAAAAAACTTATATACCCAGCATCAGATCCACCGGTCCTCCAAGGATTTTTGCCGGTCACTTCGCAAATCCGAGGGACGGCATCGGGCAAGGTCATGTAGTTGAAGACCTCGGCGGAAGTGGCGGAACCTCTTGAAAAACAAATTTCATGAGTGGTTGAGTCAGCAAGTTCATGAAACCTTATGGGACATTCCAAAAACACGGACACAACAAACAAACGTCATATATATTAACTGAACCCCGCCTCACAGAGAGTGTGTAAGTCTGTGCATGCCTTTTGACCTCATCGCGATTGGGATGCAACGGGATGCAACAGTTGTCGTGGGTTCTTGGGACCTTCGCTCGCTTCTTTGTGCGGATGATGTACGGCGAGACTTAGACTTTATCTGGAGTACTAATGGAATTCACAAAACAATTTTGTTACAGTAAAAGTACTATTTTATGCTTTTTACTAGTACTATTTTGTCAAGTAAAAGAACTTCATAATATTACTATATTTTTTTAATATAGTTTTGTTTGACAAACTAATTCACAGTACAATTTGCAGAATGTGGTTTCCAGCTTTCCTGCGGAGTTTGCTTCACCCAGTGCCATGAAGAACACTTTGCCAACTCTCGGGTGCCACTCGAGTCCTCGTCATGAAGGCCCCTACTTGGCCACCAAGGCAGGTGAGGAGTTCTTTTGCTGGCATGGTGTCTTACATTGAATAAAATGAAGCGGAGTGCCAACACCTGACACCATTTTTTTGTGGGAGGGGGCCGGGGTCTTTGAGAGTGTCATCCCGTGGTTGATTGGGCAAGCAAAATTTTGATATGTGTCAATGTATGTGCTGTGTGAAGATATCTTCCGTGTGTGTGTAAAATTGTGTAAATAGACGTATATACATATAACATATAGTTTTATAAAAATACATCTAAATATGTATATATATTATATATATTCATAGTATATACATATATCCCAAGGGCTCCCGGATACCTTCTTAGAAGGTGTTTGGGGATCGAGGCGTGCCTGAGCAGGACTGAGGTCCAAGCCCACTCTCAGAGAAACAAACTTTTAACGCACATGTTCCTTAAATATCATGAATTGCGCCCTTTGAACCACAAGGATGTTCCATGTACTGCCTGCCACCCTCAAGCTGCCCCCGCTCAAGCCGCTCGAGACGTGCTTCACTGCCACACGGCGCTTCAGTTCAGTCGGCATGAGTAGGCGTCGAAGTTCTCCAAGTTGCTGCTGGCACATAAGGCCAGTGTAGGGTTTGCACAATGATTTCGTGGTCGTGTCAGTACAACTGACTGCAGTTGGTTCACAAAACCCGTAGAAGGTGTTTTTTAGAAGATCCATATACCTTAGGAGGAGGTACTTGTAGCCCACTATACAAAGTTGGAAGCCAGGAAACCCCGTGTGCCAAGATTGTAGCCCAGGCTCTTCCACCCCACTGGTCTGCCAGCCGGCAGCAAAACGGTGGCTGATGATCTGGTCCGAACTCCTAACATTGATTAGTGGGTCAAGGTTCCTGAAAATGTGCTGCCACATTGCATACAGAACTCCAAGCGCCCTCCAGACCTGGATCTCTATGTGCTTGGGCCAGGGATGGGCTTCAAGAATCCAAATTTAATATAAATTTGAGGAGGTACTTGGAGGCCTAGGGCAACTGTTTGTGCTTTGGCTCATCGATCTGAGCCTGACAGATCTCTTGCAACACCGCTTCAGCCAACTGCATTTAGGCAGCCATGCTCCGATCCTGTGCCATGACGTTTGACTGTCCACAGGTGTGATTTAACATGATTTAACACAACGAGACCCCCAGATGAGTACAGATCCCTGCTAGCGCAGCTAGCGCCCAAAGAGTGTTGGATTGCAAGTAGGTTGGAACCTGAGCAACCAATTAATGATATCCCAAGACCAACGACAAGAAAATCTAGCGTGTAATGAATCTCACGAGGAGCAGAACCCCACAAAGACATCGCATACCGGATGCCAACAAATTCGGTTGGCTTTGCTTCCACCAAGGTCACTTAAAGTGGCACCAGTCCCCTTCACGCAATCAATTAATCACAACAGGCGCAGCTCCACATGGAAGTTGTTCACTGTGCAGTGCTGTAGACAAAGGCGCTCTTGGCGTGTCATATCAAAACGCTGCTGACAAGGGGTCCGAGATTTCACGCTGAGAGTGGGTCATTTTCATGCTTCGACGCAAAGCGATACCAATTTAGAGCCAAGAAACCTCAAAGTGTCTAAGGGGCGGGATCCCTTGTGGCAACACGTGTGGGAGGGCACTGTGGATGGACATCATCACCTCCTTGTTCACCTCATACTTGAACACCACGCCTGAAGATGAGATATGATTTTGGAGCACTGGGGTGCAGGGATATCTGCAAAATTCAACTTAACATATGCCAGGCACATGGTTTTCAGCCTCGTCCCGGCATGTTCCATTAAGCCCTCAGGCCCCAAAAGACCCAAAGATAATAATCCAAATAATCCAGCATCCATTAACGGAAGACTCAGAACATGTTAACGCACACTTTGCATCAAAGGCTCATCCCTATCCAGGATTTGGGGCTGGTACTCCTATGTAGTTCTTGATGCCACCATGGATCGCCAAGCTAGCCTAGTCGACCAATGATCAATCTACATAGCCTGCGATCCATGAATCTGGTCTTTACATGTCTTTACTGCGATGGTTCAGCGAACATAATTTACCTGAGTGACTCAGCTTGAGCCTCAGGGGGGCGCTCCACCGCCATCCCGGCCACCATCCAGTGGGCTCGCAATGAGCGCCATGCCGCCGTGCACCGCCCGCCAGGAAGCAAGACACTGTGAGCTCCAAGCATCTCATCCCCTGAAGGTCACCCATATGTCAAAGCATCATATATACATATAATATCCCAGATATCTAGATTGCTTCTTTGATCGGAATGGCCGGAGTGGCCCTCCAAAGAAGTCGTCGAAGTTAGCTAGAAGACGCTTCAAGGGCGCACCACGCAAAGCAGCATCCCTTTCAAGGCCCATGGTTCATCGATCCGAGGTCAGGTACGACATGGCAGGATGTTCATGGAGAAAACTATATAGGTCTAGGTTATTTGTACCACCACCCGACTCTACGTGGTTCGACATGTGAGTCCAAGTGGATGACATGCAAACCATGAGCTCGTCGGCCGGTTGGTAGCCTCTCTTTGTGTATCCCAAATACCCTCAATGATCGTGAATAAGTCCGATGAACCCTCCATGTGATACAAAACCCTCCTGAGCACGGGCCTGGGTCCCGAACCCATCCTCAGGAAACTTTGGACCCATTCTCTCAACATGAAATCTCGGATACATGTGAGAGATGATCTGGAGCACTAGGGTATGTGATTAAATATATATATATATATATGTGTAAGGATTGATATAATGTATGTTAATATTCCAGTGCCCATTCGTCCTCTCCGAGTCTCTTTCATTCGCCTTTTCAGGACTCTTTCTTCGCGCCCCAAGCATCCTTCGGGCTCAGGTCCTGGCATCCTTCGCCAGGATCACATCACAGCCCTGTGGCATCACCTCGGTGCTACGCTACAGTGGTGGCTCTACACGATGGAGCTCGGCTCCTGGGCTCCGCATAAAGAGTGAACATGAGTTAACAAGCCTGTACACATCCATCTTGACTAGTGACTAGGGCTGTAAAAGACATTGTCATGCACTTCTCTACATGTGTTACAAACAAGTTGAACATAGTAGAAGACACAGCAAACACTTTGTTCCTGGAACATTGTACACGGTTTTCAGATCGACTTAACGGCGTTAGTTCCACCAAAACTGATGGATTTGGGTGGTTGGGTCAGGGTTTTGGTCCATTCTCATGTTCTCCCGTGTGGTGTCCCTCATGTGAGAAACACACAGCCCAGTGGAACCTCGGCCGCCCCTCGGCCTGCTAGAAGAATCCTTGCTTTCTAAGACTGTCTAAAAGGAGGCCTAGTAGGGCAACACCTTCTCTCCCTAGGGCTCCAACAATATCCTCAGAAGGTGGTTACACCCGCTCACACCCACCCCAACCATCTTCAACAAGAAGGTCGGCCACGAGCTCTAGGGTCTTCCAAGCGCCGCATTCCCATCGCCATCCGCGCGTCCTTCCCTTCCCATTGGTTCCCCTCGCCTCGATGCCAGACAGGTTGGACAAATCCGTCTGGATGAACCTCTCAGGGATGTCGGACTGCGAGCGAATGAACACCCGCCAGTCTTCCACCAACACGGGCCGGACCATGGTGTTTCCAGTGGTTCTGGACGGCAAAAAAAAGACTTACAATAAACATATTGGGCACTTTGATGGGACATCACGACCGGTGGGACATCACTTGGATGCATCCAAGGAGTGATTTGGAGGCCTTCACGACCGATGAATGATACAACATTGCAAGGTAACAGTATCATCCAATTAGTAAAATTGCAAATAGCTATGGCAAATCTCGCTGGAATCTGATGAATCATATATACATATATAAAATAGTATTATATATAATATATATATATATATGTCCATATACATAGTCTTTAACCACGTGCGCATTCGATGTTCAACCACCTTGAATTCCTCATGAAGCAGGTGCTGGTCTTCATCTCTCCCAGTGGACTCTAAGGTACCTATAGGTACCTCTAAGTGGAAACTACGTAGGTCTACGTGTTGGAACTCAGAATTTATGTTCCTATGACATGAGACGAAACCTTACGTCCAAACGTCCTGATCTACCAGCGATACTTGCTTCGTGTCCGTTCGCAGCTCCACGACCCGGCAAAGGGCCTCACCGGGTAGACCAGGGGACCATTGGTATGTGGCCACTGGTACACAAACATATCAATCACACATATGGGGATGGGTTATGGCACCTTGGAACCCTCAGGTTGACCACGGGTCGAATGAACAGAATCGACGCCTCGAGGCGGTCCGGTCCACCTACCAAGGATCGCAAGGATCAGGGGTGCCATGACCCACAGCCATGTTCCAAAACGAAGCACATCTTCCATCCAGGCCGCTGCATCTTTGGGAATCGACGAAAGTTGATCGCAAGGCAAAAGGGCGTGATGTCCTCAGCCCAGCGACGAAACGGGCGGACAAAGCGATCCACCTTCCCTCCGCTGGCCACCGGCAGGACTGTCACGGCGAGAAAAGCAATCCAAATATATATTGGATTGGATGTGAAGAATACGTCGCCGACATGGGAGGGCTGTGATCCTGTGGAAGGTCGTTGGGCCAGCAATTCTTCCTGAAAATCTTGACAACTGCTTATTGAGCTGGCACATCGGAATCTGCTTTGAGGAGCAGGATGGAATGTGGCAAGGAAGCACCAGGCTGTCCCTGATGAAGGAATTTGTAAACCCAGCATCCTAAAACAAGTTGCAACACACATGCCAAAGAAAGCAACTCTTTGAAACTTTAGTTTGAATTTGGATCCAACTCAAGCTATGGTGCAGGATGTGTTCATCAAACTCTACAGCATTCTGCAAAAACACATCATAACAAGCAAAACTGGTCGCACTTGAGTCAGCCATCCACGACTCTTTGCTTGTGCCCTGAGTGCGCCCCACAACGCCCACATAGCTGATGAGAGGGTGCTCGTCCAAGAAGTACCTCCCCAAGGAGAAGCAAAAGTGGAGGATGAACACATCTGCCGAAGGGCAACTTGTGCGCCTCAAACCTTGGCAACCTTGGAACAACATGGGTTTGAGAGACAGGAACCATTTTTTCGACATACATGGATGTACAGAGCTGCATGTTGATGGATTCTTGGGTTTAGTTGTTGAGATGATCCAACGATGTAAAAGCCAAACGATTCTGCACATCTGATGATTGCGGCTAGGCAGAATAGTGCCTAGCGACCCCATGAATAGGACGTTGGAAGACCCCATCAGATCCCATGGTTCTTCCCCGGTTGGCAAGCTGACGCTTTGTCCCGCTGCAAGGACATTCTGCCTCTGAAGAGCAGCAAGTGTGGAAGGGCATGAGCTCCCTTCCATGTGTACAGGATGGTCAATCTTTGCACCATGTGTAACAGGATGCCATGGTACCGCTTAGAAATAAACCTGATAGAGTCATTGAACATTCTATAGCACGTCAATCCTTGGTCTTAAACCCTGACACCCAGCCGACGGAACTATGCCAGGGCACTGCATCCAGGACATGTCGCCACAGCCCAAGTCCAAAATGGTGCGGATGTCCGGGAAGCGAGCCAGCAACTGGCGATGGAGAAACGTGGGTCCAGTATGGTCCAGTGAGCGTCGTGCAGCCAGTATCGTCCATGCTCGGAGCGTCGTGCAGCATGTGGATTGGATGATTGGAAGTTTGAAGCGTCATGAGTGGATATGATTGGAATTATCTGAATCTTAGAACCTTCAAACGTCGGTTTAACTAGTGGATCCAAAACCTGCGAACCTCCAAACCAACTCCTCCGAAAAAAAGGCTTGATGTGTTTTCTTCAACGATATATATATATAATATGTAGTATATATGTATTATATACCTAGAACCAGAGTAACCCCTGTTTTGGAGTCCAACAAATTGTCTTTTCCTATCAAAACAAAAGGTAATATTGATTACATCATATATTAACTCATATGAATTCATATGATGATATATCATGGGTTCTAGGTTTATAGGTCCGGTATACATCTCGGACCTCCCACCGTTCGTTTGAAACAGTTCGGACCCACCGGAGGTGTCGCTGCGCCTTGTTCAGGGCGTTCACCGCCAAGCGCGCCATGGGGTGCCAGGGATCAGCGCCTCACGTCCGAGGTGTTTGTCTCGAAAAAAACAGCTATGGCTCTTGTTAAAGGAGGTGTTAAAGGAGGTGCTCATAGACTCATAGCTGTTGAAGGTGTTCAGGGAGGAGTCTGCCTGAGTTAAGGAGTCTGCAGGTGATTCAGGTGATCATGCGGTTTTTGAGGGACCAGTCAGGCTGTGAGTGGAGCATCTAGGAGTCACTTCAAAGGTGAGAAATGTCGTCGTGGCTTTATACGTCCTTTGCGACAGTTTGGGACCATGGTCTTCCATCCGGAAGGCACGTTGTGCAGGATTTGCAGGGCACCGTTTTTTTTGAGGTCCTTCGAGTTGTGGCATGTTGTGGCCTCGAATCGACGGTCAAGGGGGACACCGAGAATCAACGGATTTTTTGTTGAGAAGTTGATGGTGTTTGGTTGAGAATCAACTGATTGTTTGACGGTGTTTGCTTCCATCGAAAATCAACTGATTTTTGCATGAGTTGAGAGCAAACACTATCTGGTGGGTCTAATTCCAAGACCCTCACACGATCCAACACGTATCTGGTGTTGGACAGGGTCAAGACAACTTCCCCAAGCAAATACATACTGATCTAACAGAACTGCATACAACAGTAGACCCGAAGACATGTGTTGGTTTTCTTCTTCGTCTTGGTTTTCTTTCGATTCCTCTGTGGCATAGGCGCTTCCCAAACATCGGTCCCTTCGTCAAAGCACATGTCAGCACAATCCAAACAAGGCAACTGTTGTACCCCTTTTGACAAGGAGACGTCAAATATGGATCATGACACATGACTTGCGGTCTGTACTAAGACCATGACGCTGAACATCTTTGGGGACTTGAGAATCGACCACAGAATCAACCAAATTTTGGGACCCTGTTCTGTCTCGAAGCAACTGCTACATGTTGCGAAGCCGGTCCCAACACCCAAACGGGTTTGGGTCCCAACACCCCAAACCGTTTGGGTCCAAACTCTGGTCGCTCCAGTCGTGTTGGTCGTGTGTTGTCTGGTCTCCGGTCCGTGTCCAGGAGCCCCGGACGGGCGCCGCTGAGAGAGCTAAAGCCACCCAAGAGGTTGGAGTGGTAGACCTGCCCCACGTGACCGACGTGACCGACGTGTGTTCCACGAAAGAACAGATCTTCCAGCAGAATTTGAGTGGAAGTTCAGTGGATAAACCAGTGGGGGTGCAAGAGTTAGATAAGCCAGTGGCCTGATGGGTTTGAACATTTTTTAGCTATCTCATGGAATCTAGTACGTACTGTAACCTGAGAAGCTGCAAAACGAAAGCCAGCGCTTTTGTGGGGCTGATTCGCAGTGCAAAGCCGGGAAGAAGCTATTTCCACTGTCTGTGAAGCCTGATGCGCGCCATACCTGGGAACAGAATTGTAGCTACAAGACCTGTATTTTCAAGGTGGCCTGAACAGAGTGTTTTAGGGCAGCAAACCGTG